TATATATATTGAGATAAATGTGTTCTGTTTTGAACAGTTAGGTGAGAGCGGAATACTGAGAATGAGGCTTAAAAATATAAATGATCATGTTTAGGAGTTTGCTCGAGCATTGTCATGCTGGTTGAACTGAATTATGTTGTGTCGGTTATGACAACTTGCTTTATTTCCTCAGAGTCTTGATAATATTAACAAAGATTTAAATCTGTATGTGACAAATCCCAGCTAAACTAACTTAGGATGCACTAATAATGAAAGACTCTGGAATGAATCGTAGATGCATAGTCAGAACGCTGTGAAAGACTGAAAGTCACTATTATTGTGATCGAGTCACTCTTGATGGAAAGAGAGGGTATTAATATTTACCCTATTCACCCCCTCGGCCCTCCGGTATCCAGCTGCTATGCCGGCAGCTTGTGTACCGGTTTTTAAGTCAAATGAGACGAAGCGGAGAGAAACTGGCCAGTTTAGTTAAGGTGCAAACTTTCTCAGAGTTCATTAAAGCTTTTCGTTGTGGTCAAGAAACGATTTCGTGACTCGAATCAGGCCAGACCAGTCTCTGGATTGTTTCCAAACCATTAGACTCCTTTTCTATCCGATCACTCCTTGTAAACACTTGTGTCCAATTGTTTCGTGTATCATTTCATGGGATCAAGCTTTAGTTGCAGGAAGTTGTCATTTTGCGTGAGAAATACAAGCAAAGTGAGATAATTCATCGAATTGTTAGAGCAATTACCTTAATCTTTGAAGAGCCAGACTTGTACTGACGAGTGAAAGTTTTCATAAAGAGCTGTGGGACCCGGCCACACAGCAGATTTTATCACCATTGCATATTATGGCTAATAGCTTGTATCTAATCACTGAGAGGCATAAAAAAGCTAACATTTATTGAAGTAATGCTACTGCGTGGCCAGGCTGAATCCTGGTGCTCATATTTCAATTCCCAGTCTTCATTACTACTTGCAATATGCTGGGAAAATATCTTCCCCTTGTTCATATTGGGTTGCAGGCCGCGCAGCATTGTGGGACACGATAAGTAGCAAACAGATCAGTTTAACAAATCATGCTACAGGCATTGTTCATTTTTAATTCATTCAGTATTTTTTATTTATAATCTCTATGTTTAAAACATCAAGTTATTATTTCGTTTTTAACCTATACATAATGAAATGGCTTTCTCCAATAGGAAATTTTTAGTCGACTGAGCAAGAAAGTCGTCCAAAGCTTAGTTTCCTGTTAGCTTTTCGATTGAAGTTTTTACCGAACTATATTTTCGCTATGGCTTTCTTACGTGCTTTATTTTATGGATGCATGCTATGAATTAGATGATATTAAGTGCTTTAAGATTACGATGGCATAGTTCTTCTTCCATCGGGAATAAAGTTATATTGTCGTCAGTTTTGCTGCCATACACCTTGACTTGGGTAAAAATGCCTCGTACTCGAATGCACTCTCTCTACATTTAACTGAGGTGAGACCATAATCAAAGGTCTTTCTAACTATAATCATAGGAAAGAATCATGGATGGCATGCGCGAAATCACGGGCGAAATAAGTGGCGATTTGCCGGGCAATCAAAGGTCTCTGCATGGGTCGCGTAAGAAGTCATTGTTGGATAAAAAGTTATGAAACGCTGTAACGAGATTAGTTTGGGAACGAAGCCTCTCCAAGAATGCGAGAAATGGCATTTCATAGCTTGTATAAATGAAATATTTACTGGGCGAGCATCCCCGAATGACCTTCAGCTGTCGGCTACGACGAAAGCTCCGCGGAACGCCTCATTCAACAACGCTGGTAATAACATCATGGAGGACCACTTCGATCGTTACAAGCAAAATGATCGATGGCGCCTCCGTGACGTTGAATGGCACGAGGCGTTTTGGCAGGAAAACTCGAGCTATTATTGGCCAGTGAACGCTTCGAATACTAACATCGAGGAAGTCGTTCTTCAACATGCGTGGGAAAATTTCAGAATCCAGCTGGGCCTGTGTTCTTAGATCTTCGTGTAAAGACCTTACATGCAATGCTAGTTAAAAACTTTGATGAAATTATCTCATTTGATTGCACAGGGGAAGACATCCATTTTTATCAGTTATTCCGGCAGAACATAAACTGAGTCCGATGCATGAAGCAGTATTGGGCCTACTCGTCGATGAGAGCAATAATTTTACCATTTAAGTGATATGTTAATGAGGAAATGTAGAGTATATTTTGTCACAAGCTTTCCAGCTAGTCGTGCCAGATTCCAAAAGTTGTTGATTACGATCCATGATATAATCCACCTCTTAAATATGATGTTAAGCCGTTTGAAGTACGGAAGCATTTTTTCTTCATGTCTGACAGAGATTCTTTGAAGTGTTTTCCACATTTTTTTGAGTAATAGAGTGCTCAAACCACACGCCAATCAGTGATTACCCGATATTGTGACCATGGCAATGATTTAATGGCATTAAAAACTAGTGTGGCCTTTTATTTTCGTTAGCTGAAGAGGCATTGAATACGGTTAGAAATACCGCGACAAAATTGGATCAACTTTGCATGAAAAAAAGTTCACAAAAAGGACGATTTCGATGTTTTCAACGAGAGCGCGCACGCAAAATTCTAAAGGTTGTCGTGGTCCCCACCCTACAGTCTATTAGAAAAACAACTAGCAAAATTGAGAATGTTTCTAGAAATACAGCGATGCATGTGGTCGTCAGATTGGTAGCTATATCCTTCCTATTTAGACTGTAATCACAGACGTTATATGAGTTCCCTAACAAAACAATTCGGGGAAACTAATTGCATTAAAAGTATTGAAATCTCTTTCCTATTCAATTCTATTTCCGAGACAAGTATTTCGATTCGGATAGTTATTATCTAACAGTTCTACCATGCGAAGCCTCAATATTTAGCTTAAAAACGACTCTATATATTGATATTTGATATGCAGTCTGGTGACGAAGTTTTATACTCGTACTTGTATGTATCTTATAGTAAAAGTTGTCAAGTTGATTAGTTGAAGGCTATATTATACGTATGGATATAATGCTCATCAGTGAGCTAGTATACCTGCGACACCTAACTTGTCTCTAATTTCTGGTTAAGTGAAGGTTTCACAGCAATCACTATCCATCATTTCTTCAACTCTTCGTCACTGTCACTAGAACGCGTCACTGACTCTTTGGCAACTGAATCGTGTGATTTTTCACCTTATTTAATGCTACTGGACTTTTTAATCGCATTTTCACTTACGCAGTTACCAGCACCGTTCTAGTAATCTACCTTTATGTGCCCCCAAAGAACACATCCCACGTGCTGACGTACTGGCCATGTTCGAAAAGGTATAACAACTGCCTAAAATAGCCAAAAAAAACTTCGCGACGTTTCGACCTAATGGCCGGCCTTCGTCAGCAGTTTGTATGAAGGTGAAGTTGGGAGAGGCTCATAATCAGGAAGGCGAAACGTCGAGAAGTTTTCTTTGTCTATTTTAGGCCGTTGTTAAAACACATTTGAATGAATGATTGGATGTGTAGTTATTTAAAGCCAGGTCAACTCTGAACTGGCGGAAAAGAACTTGGAATAGTAGTGTCGAATGAAAATCCATTTCTCGACGATAGCGAATGAAACAACTCGATATGTCGAGTCTATAAGTCAGAGTTATATTCCTTATAACTAAACATATAATCACAAAATATCGAATAGTTTCATAACGAATAACAGAATATAATCGATTAGAAACTGCAGAATGGATTTCTTATTTCGATAGCCCTTCTCTGCGCTGATTGACTAAAATATGAGCGATGCTACACTGCTCCTTGTTTAATTCACAAATGGCCTGTCGAAAAGTGTGGATATAGGATCCAAATAGGATCCTTTGGAATACAAACTCTCAAGTTAGCTCACTTCTTTCGCATACAGACACGAGAGAATCTCCGCTGGCTTGCTACACTTAGAACATGATACACTTCCCCAAAAATTTTGGAATGTGCGCTCCTTTGTGTCAGACGCATGCATGGCTAGATGAAAGAATAATCTTGCAACGTTAATTATCCGGAAATCCGGACTGCCTTTATAGGTTGTCAGTACAAGTATATATGCGTTATCTTCTAAATTGCATTGAAATTGGGGGCGATCGTTGTGGGCAAAGTATTTTGCTCACACCTGAAACCGCAATGATCCGCAATCATATTCTTGAATACGATTGACTGGATTGACAGATCTACTGATCCAAATCGTCAAAACAATCAACATATTAAATCCCCTTTAGTCGGTCAGCCAGCCCGATAAAAATACTGGATTCGGACTGGAGTTGAACAGCAAAATTCTTCTTTGGTCAAATGATGGAAAGCCCTTCAAAATCGTTTCTTTATTGTCTATTAAGACTATAGTCTTGCTGTCTTATATCAATAGGTGACATGACAGGTCCGGCTTTTTACAGCAGGAAACCTATTAACTACTATAGTTCTCCGTCTCAAGCAATCAATCATACCCTGAACTTGACTACAATGAGCAATCAATGGAAGTAGCTACATCTATAAATCCCTTTTGTGCAGCTAATTCCCTCAATAGATATTGTTCAATCAACATCATTTGTATTGGACAGCTCTATAACTTTGAAACATTTGCCTTGAGGATCGAAGCAGGATACTGCGTTAGGATTTAACCCCGGCTTATCAAACTTAGACCAGGGTGGGTAAAGTGTAAAAAATGTTATCGCGAGAGAAAGATTTACCTAGATTAACTTCAGTCTTCATTCAACTAAATTTTTACCTAAAATAACGTATATCATTTTAAAAAGCTCTCTCTTTTAAAAAGTTCCACGCTGCCCTGAATTCCGTCATCGTATGTTCGTACTATACTGGCACTGATTACCTTAACTTGAATTTGGAAATTGGAATTTTCAGTGGAGAGTCCAGTTCTTCATCCGAATTCTCTCAGACGATTGCACCCCCCGGTATTCTCATTACTTCGTTCTCTCAGATTACTCCCATCTTCGGGTGTTGACGGACAAACCAAACTAAATTGCGCGTTAAACCGCAATTTATTAATTAAACTTCTGCCACGCATCCAACCTTTGTGCGTCAACAGAATCGCGTCGTAGCATCTTTCACAGTCGTCCAGTGTTGATACCTTTGTATAAATTGCGCTATTCGGCGCACGCAAGTCACTTGTGCTCCTAGAATTCCACACGAAGGAACTCTCGCCGGCAAAGCAATGCACGCAAAATTATTATCGCTATGTGTTGTCTTACAAACTGCGTCTTCATTTGTGAAGGCCAGCGAACAAAAGGTAGCAATGGACCAAATTATACTGGCAAACATGGGGAAAGGTATATATTTTTAATACGTTTTTAATATTGCCAGATGGTGTACTGAACGAAGCAATGTTGTTCTTGTAATCTTATGTAGTAATGGTAGTGGCTTCTGTTCGATCGACTTGCTTCTGCATGTTGTGTTCGACTGTTGGAGTTTCCGGTATCATTGAAACAATATTCCGCCGTTTACGAATGCGCATTTAAACAAAAACAATCCAGCAATGTTTCTTGAATAGACCGGCTTTGTTTAAAAAGGTCTTAAGCTGTATTAAAGCGAGAAAATTAAATAGTATAATCGCCTGGCCTTTGGCTTGCAAAGAGTGATTTATTACTGAAGTAACAATCAAACCTGTTAGGTATCTTGTGTCACCTTTCGTCAGCTGTTCTCTCTCGAACTGTTACATGTCGTGTGTCGTGGGTAATGTAGATCGATTTGATCTATTTTCCGTCTTCTTCTATTTTCAGTTTTCTTCATAATTCATGAACATCGACAATGCTCTCAAGTAAAAATTTCTGTGATCTTCAGACGTCTTAATATTATTGTAGGGAAAACCTAACGCATTCACCTTCGAATTTTGTAACACGAATTCACACTTCCCGCTACTTTTTGCCCACGACTCGCGAATACACACGTTCTGTCTTGCTCGTGACAACTGATAAGTGACATCGTCTGGCGTTATGGCGAATTACTGGAGGCTAAATACTGGTTCTTCTCGGGACCGCGTTAAATGATTTGCAAATGCGAGCCATACGCGAGTTCCTAAAATGATGTAAATTGCGGAAGGTGTGGTTTGAATTGTACTTTTGCAAATCAATTAAGAGTTGCAAAACGTCCTTCAAAGTTCAACCTTACTCCAGGAGGATTCCAAGGTGCATAGACCTGCCTTGAAGACATATGAATTCTTTCAAACCTCTATACACTAAAACTATTCGCTCAGCACGGCTAAAATGAGAACCCTAACAGGCCTAACCCAATTCTATCTGTACCCAAGCAGCTAATAAAACCGAAAGCCGACCAGGAATGAAAATGGTACGAGTACCTATTTTAGCGGTGCCGTGCCAAATATTTGACTGTAGTACAAGAGGGGCTTTATTTAATGTGTCGCAAATTAAGATACTCTGATAAAGAGCTCTTTTCTCCGTTTAAGTTAGTTAACCCAGTTTCATCCAATTTACTGGTCACCTGGCTGGAGGCTATGATTTGGTTTCCCGAATTCAATATTTTTCAACAATTCAATAATTTTGTACTATATGATGAATGGGGTCCTCAATTTTACTAAGCTTCCCTCAAGCTATATATATGATGAAATGTTCTTCGGGACTTCGGGTGGTACTTGTATTTCCGCAGTCTTTCCGCAACTTAACATATCGTGGCCTTCAGTAACGAATTTGTTCACAGTTATAAATAATCAAGAAGTTCTTTCTGGCAACGATGCCGGATAACCCGTGCTATGTTTAAATTAGGATAGGCCCAACCTCATAATCCGAGGACAAACTACTCCTGACGTTTTTCCGATTTTTTTGGCTAATATGGTATAAAGCATGTACAGTTACACAAATACACAGATTCTATTCGGATTATTTGCCAAATCGGTCGCGACAGGCATGAAGAAACCACGATAGAAAAACGAAGAGGCTTTATTTATGTTGTTTCTGCAGATATCTCTCATTCCTCATTGCCCGTAACCATCATTCCCAAAAGTCCTTTGTCTCCGCCCACTCCGGGGAATTAGTGAAAACGCCTTGACGAATGTAGCAACGTCCATTAGGAGTATTAGACTCCCATTTTTCATTCGCTGGAAAGTGTGTTTTCATTTAACCTGTTCTCCTTCAACATCTATTCATTATTTTGCTTTCATGCATGTATAGGCTATTTTCATGTACGCTATTCATGTCTTTAATTTTCTTAGTATATAGATATTGAATATTGATATGTTGTTATTTTTTAAATTTTCTAGCTTATTATAAATAAGGTATATTGCTTTTCTTCAATTGAGAAAGCACTTATACGTTTGATATACACTGGCGGTCAAAAAGAACTGCTCAAAACGAGTTAAAATGCTCTCAAATGAACGTAACTGTTCCTCTTACAACATATTCGAGTGAATATAGACTAGATTACATGCTAAGCTATATGAAATAATAATATTTTGTTGACCCTCCTTTGGCCTTATAATTGATGACGGCCTTACACCGGCGTGGCATACTTTCTGTTAAGGTGGTAATCTTAACGGTCAAAAGAAATTCATCCTATGGACAGTCTTTACAGCAACGCATAAATCGTGGACGCTTTATGAATGAGTTCCTTTCTTGCACTATCCCCTTGACGTTGTCCCACAGATTTTCAATAGGGTTAAGGTCTTTTGACTGTGCAGGCCAATCCATTTCTGTCACCCCCTCTTCCTGAAACCATTGTTTGACTATATCTTGGAAGGGTGGCAGGTTGCATTACATTATTGAAATATTGCTTGGAATAAGAGAATTATCCAAAATGCCTATGAAGCTCTCTCCTATATTCGCTTCTTCTTCATGAATTTGTATCTAAACAGTTCTTTTTGACCGCTAGTGTACAATAAAAGATTGATGGTTACGATCCCTGTTATATACGATTAAAGCAACATTTGAGCAGTTCTTTTTGACCGCCAGTGTAATATGGCGGTCGCGAATGCCCATTAGATCGAAACGTGAGGAAATGTTTTTGTCTATTTTAGGCAGTTTTTATAGCACATTTGATTACGTTTTCTCGCTGAATACAAATCATACATTATATATCCGCATGGTGCAAGTAAACAACGTTTGTCCGTATCAAGCTATGATCGGCATTTTTATCGTGCGACTTTTGAAATTAATCATGCAGCGTAAGAACGGAAAAAAGCAGAATGCGCTCCTAACACATGCTCGAAGATACCCAACCCCCAGACTCAAAAACAGAAAATCTGGTGGAAAAGTGTTGTATTTAAACAGTTACAGTCGACTTTCAGGTCAAATTCACTGAAACTCCCAAACTTTCAAGCGCAAAACTAAAATAGCTCTATACTGCATATGTTAGTAGCATGCGTGCGACTGCACCAAAATTTCCCGTGGTGTAGAATCAAGGCGTTTATAGCACTGATGATTGTAAAAACAAAGTCAATCTGCATTCCGGAATGAAGTACATATGCCCCATGTCTAGCACTGTCTTTCGAATATCATTTTACGAGAAGTTGTTCCCACGGCTTACATTAATGAATTAATCGTTGACAGAAGAGCGTCAACAGACAGTGTTTGTCATGTCGACAATGACTAGTGTATCCATGTATCTATGCATGTTGTTTCACGAAGTTGCTGTTTTTCGACTTTTTTTTCAGCGTGTGAAAAACGAGCGAGCATAATTCAGAGAGATGTGTACATATATAGAACGCTATTAACATTGTGACAGGCGGACAATATGGCACCGATTAGGTCAAAGGTCGTCGTATTCCTGGGATTTTCACCAGGAGCTCGTCGACGCAGAATGAAAGCGAGCTGCTGACAGAAATGTTTGTGATATCATTACTGTTTCATGAGTGTCACTGAAAGATCTATCCCACTCCCAACTTCGCCCTGTCTTTCCACTTGCTTCAACAACTGTACTGTACATACACCAATGAGTTGCAAAATCGATTTCAAAAACGACAATTTCATCGGACAGTCGAGAAACTTTGTGCACAGATATTATCGCATATTCGTAGAGTTTGATTGTAAGATCTCATCGGTAACTCTCCGTACATTAACTTTCACCCAGGATCATTCAACAGTTAACACCACCAACCTATAGATGCTGGTTGGGCATATGCTTGCAGTTTGAGCACTTTCGTGCTGAAGGGTAGATATAAGGTGTTTATACATACGAGCCAGTCGGGCGAACAGGGCTGATTTAAATTAAGGACTCTCATGGCCGCAACAGAGTGTCTTAATCAATGTTTGCACCTGACCTTGAACGATCATTCCTTAAATTTAGCTTAACTCATTTCACGCCTGCTTTTGTCCGGTTAACTGAGCAAGCAAAACTCATATTTACAGACCATAAGTTTAGGGGGCAACGTTCAGGTTTAACAAGGCTATAGCTTTATTCATAATACAAATTCATCAATTCCAAGTGTAGGTACTTAATTAACAATGTAATAATATATCTAATATCAACCAGGTGATCTGATATGGCGGGAAAGGACTAGGACTAGTTGTCATATAAAAATCCATTTCTCGGTTGAAACAACTTAATATCTCGGGAAATATACTTTATTTCGGTTTCAAATTTATATCATAGCTAAAGTTCTTATAACTAAACATAATCACAAAATTTTGAATGGTTCCATCAAGAATAATAAAAGATATAATCGATTTAACATTGCAGAATGGATTTCTATTTTCACAAACTTTCTGAGCGCTGATTGGCTGAGATATGAGCGCGAGATCACCTGGAAGTTATACTAGCCCATTTTACACTACACTCAATTTATTGGCACGGCATGGCTAAAATGGGTACCCGTGCCCAATTTTATTAGTGTTCAGGCTACCAATGCTAAGGCCAGACACGGATGAAATGGACACGGGTACCCATTTAAGCCGTGCCGTGCCAATAAATCAAGTGTAGAGTGTAAATGGGGCTAAAAAAAATTGTCTACTAAGTAATACGAGTTATATTTATCCGCCCCGTCTACTAAACAAAAAATCTAAAATGCTGTGTTTATTTTGTAGAAAAATGGATGGACGTTCACAAATTTGATATTCGTTTACCGCCATTTCGGAGCGGGGCAGGTGAGGGAGAGTTTGATGCAGCGGCCCGGGACGAGAGTAAAATATGGTCGAGAGGCGTGATACCTTACGTCATAGACAAGAGCATACGTAAGTACTTGGATTAAAGAGAATACTCTTGTGTTGGGTCAACATCGACTGTTTTTTTCCCACAATTTCTCCATCACCAGTAAACTCTAGAGTATACAAGTGGAATGATAACTATAGTGATAAACATGTCCATATTTGCCTGAAGTTGAAATATTTTTCCTTGCATGGTTTTGAGCTGAAATACTTGACCCTAAAGTCTAAACCACGGACTGTTTATCAAACTAAGGCTAAAACCACTTCAGCAAATATAGTCGAATATTTTAAAAACATTAGTACAACCACCTTTCAACCGGGCAAAAACTATAGCGAGTAGTTTTTTATAGTTTTGAATATTTCCCTTCAAATATCAAATACACTTTTCAAAAGCTTCAGTTTCATACACAAGTAACACAACACAACGTCGAAAATTGTGTAACTATTTCTTAATGCTCAGAAACACTCGTTCCAGTTGCGTTAGAGTTCATTGCATGTCCATCTCACCACCAGGCTTCCTTTGTTTGGCGAGGCTACTGGACATATCCTCTTACATTTAGCGCTTTGCAGAATGTTTTCTATCCCTTCCATCTTTTCTGGGTCTGGTGTGAACTGCATGTCTTGTAAGGGGGGTTCAAAAGATTGTATTGACAGGAACTGAATCAACGCTTAATACTGTGAAAATATGACGTGTTCCAAAATCAAATATGATCTTACGTATCGTACCGTTCGTACGTGTGTTTTACTCATGATCAAAGTGATTTTGAAACTCGGTCATGTAGAATTGTTGTGAAGTTGATATCGCACCAAGCTTTTTGTAACAATATATTAGTTGAAAAGAATTAATATTGTCTAAATGGTTAATGAAGGAGCTCCCCCCAGTGTTTCAGATGATAACTAAGGCTAACAATCTTATCACATTATTAGTTGACCGTCCAACGTTCAAAGCTAACCTGGAAATGGCGATGAAAGAATGGAAAACGTATACTTGTATCAAATTCCGAAAAAGAAAAAGAAAACATCGAGATTATGTTGTTTTTATGTATGGAGTGGGGTAAGAAGTGCCTTTTAAGAGCTTCCTGGGAAGAAACAGGATAAATTGAGCACTCATAAACCTACTTCCAAGATCTGTTTACAATTACAGAAACCGTTATTAGCAGCGGCTATATGCCGCGTATCTATTCAACTCATTGTCCGATGATGTAAAATGCTCAGACAGTCCTTCCTAGCTCCTTGCTGACAATGCTCTTCTCTTCTTGGTTAAAAGATCATCCCCATGTGCAAGGTTTAAAATTTCAACTGAATTGTTTTCTTTTTCAAAGCTGCAATGCAGATGTTGGTCGTACGGGTGGGCGACAATACGTCTCACTGGGCAGAGGATGTTCGGACACAAGTGTGATCATCCATGAAATAGGACATGTTGCTGGGTTTTGGCATGAGCAAAATCGTCCTGACCGAAGCAATTATGTTGATATTTTGTGGGATAATATCGTTCCAGGTTTGTCATTTCTTGAGATCTCCACTTGTATGGGCTGTAACAACACTTCAGAAATAATTGGATAGCCCTTGATATACTGGTACTTGATTGAACTATATGCAGTATGTACATAACTCTCAATCAAATGCCTAAAATGTAGAAAAAAGTTCTAGAGGGCTCGACCTTTAAGAGCGGCCTGGCCCCTCTTCAGGGTGTTTGGTTTAAAAAAAAATACGAAGTGCACATGCTGTGAACATAGATGATTTCAACCTACATGCATGTATGGTTTTGAATTTTATCCTGTAGTTACCCCAAATATATGCGACATTTTACCTGCCTGGGTTAGTGATATCTTCGTTCTATTCTTAGCTTATAGATACGCTTTTAACAAGTACAACGAACTTCGTATAAACAGTCGAAATGTAACCTACGACTTTAAGTCCATAATGCATTATGGGGAAAGTGCATTTAGCAGTAACAGGAGGGCGACGATTGTTGCGAAAAATAGCAATGTTACAGAATTTGGAAACATTCATCTTAGCCCGTTGGACATACAGCAAGCCAATCTGATGTACAATTGCCCAGGTTGGATTTAATATGAGAAATATTTAGATAAATTGAAATGGCTTTTTTGCCTTTTTTTAAAAACATTATCAGCAGACAGTTTATAAAGATAAGAGAAAAAAAACATGGGCAGTGTTTTGTCAATCGACTCCCAAAATCAGAAATAGTATCACTAATATTCAGGTTTGAGGATGATTTTCATAAAGTCAAAATGTCCCTGCAAAATTGTTGTCCGGTTTTCAAGCTCAAATCCTGGCTTCACAAGATGTCTTTCTTGTAAACTTTCTTCATATCATAGTTTGATAAGTTTGAATATACAAGTGTTCTCTTATTTTCATGCAGTTAGGGTGACCAAATTTCCCATATTTCCTGGTGACTTCGAGTTCTCAACAGCCACCGTTCCTGGCAAGCGTTGTATCATCCTGAACGAACCGAGGGAAAGATCGCGGCAATCAATCCGGCTTTGTCACAACATCACGAAGAAAGATCCAGGCATTTCTTGGTCACACGAGGGAAGACTACCATCACTGGACTGCACTCGCATCAATTCGCCATACGGGGGGGATTCGATGGGTTTCTGGAATGACAACTACGTATGCGTGGCGAATGATTCCGTGTATAGATTTCATTGGTCGAGAAACGGGCCAATTGAAGGCCTTGGATGTTTGGGCTGGCCAAGCAAAAGTCGCAGAGGCAGGACCCAGGCGTTTTTATGTGCAAAGTTTTTTGATGGTCGTAAGTAATACCACTTTTAAACATATCATTATAATTTTAAACTGGAAAAATTCCAATTAAGTTCCGTAAAGTTCGGTCGCAAATTCACTTCTGCTTTTAAGCTTTCAACATCTTGCACCAAGCACTAATGGAATAAAGTACGATAAATCCACTCGCGCGTGGCATCATCTGAAACTAATTGGATTCAGAGAGAAAAATGTATTACTTTTGCATGAAAAAGGAAATAAACTAATTATTATATTTTATAAACTATCTCATTATTCTTGCTAATTAAAAGATCTTGTTAGTATCCATAATAAACAAAACACTTCTCGACGTTTCGATTTGAGGGCCTTCGTCTGGAGAGTTAATATGAAAAACTCTCCAGACGAAGGCCCTCAGGTCGAAACGTCGAGAAGTGTTTTGTCTATTTTAGGCAGTTGTTATACCACATTTGATGCTAAGTTGTTTGAAGACGCTGCCACGCTGCCCCCTGGTTATATAGTATCCATAATGTCCAATAATTAATCCGCATGTGTGAATAATGTTTCAAAGTTACCTGTTCAAGCTGGATAAGACTACCAGTTCAAAATATTTTTCTCTAGAATGGTGTAAAACAACCATTCTTTATAATCCAGTATAACAACCATTCTTTATAATCCAGTACTGAAACACTCTGGGTAAAACAGCCACATAAAAGTTACTCGATTATTCATGGTAATTGAAAAATATGAAGACACAATGGAATTCAAGCATGAAAATTTTTTATTTGCATCGTTTAAATTCTAGTTAACTCAGAAATACACGACTCTGATTGGCCAATTCTTTCCTTAACTACAGTTAAAAGTTAGTTAACTAGGCTTTTATACAACTGGTCCCAGATGGAAAATTTGAGCATTAAGTGGTCACAGCTAGGACAATAGAAACTTTGAGGGGGTAACTCCCTTGCTTGGGGGTAAATCCATTTCCTAGCCTCGTTTTTTCTTATGGAATCCCTCTCTTTTTCCACGACATTCAGCAATCGACGGAGGGTGGACAGATTGGTCGCCCTGGACAAGATGTAACAAAGTGTGTGGCGGGGGGTACCAGGAGAAAAGGCGTTACTGTACAAATCCCGTGCCAAGAAATTATGGAAAGCCCTGCTACGGACAAGACTTTGAGAGACGATATTGTAATCTACAAGAATGTGCAGGTGGGTATCGAATGACAAAACTCCTATAAGGTCTGAGCAGATCAGGAAATACTGCTAAAGAAACATGTTTATAATATCCTGACCCAATGTTGATAATATTTAACATCCCGAACGGAAATTCTACTTCCATCGTAAATGAAATAAGCCGTGAGATTACTCCAAAAGCCTAGCTTTGGGCTTTTTTTTCGTGATGTAAAAAAACTAGGCTCATCAGAACAGGTGTCCAGACTTCTCTTTGCCTAGTCCAAAACTAGTCAACGTCCAATATTGGCCAATGTCTCCTAAACGTCAAAATCCAGTCAACACAAGTTTGTCTAGTTACCTTTTACTCACAGCAGTGTTAGTTTTGGCAATTCTTTAATCAAAGTTAGGACCATATTTTTCTTGCGAATGCGAGAATATGTCAATCTTTCAAACTCTTATATTTGAAGAGTTGAGTAAACTTGTTCAGCACAAAACGATTTGAACCTTCTATCCTTCTCAGAACGACCGGAATGGCCAGCTGATTTTATGTTCAAACACGTCCGGTACACACCTTACGACCAGAATTGCGTTCGAATCTACGAGCGAAGCTCTGATCTTGTCTGGAGAAATTACTTTTTCTGTTCTGTTGGGACAAAACGAAGTATTCGCATGAAATGGTCGGATATGGGCGCCCAGCGTGGGATGAGATGTATTAAGGTCAATGAACCGTTGGAATCTGACGGTTGGAATGATAATTACTTATGTGTTCCTCGGGATTCTGAGTATAGGTAATGATTGTATTTTATGATGATAATGATAATAATTTTAATGATGACAGGCGTTATTGTTTATAGTAATATTGATGATGTCGTAAAAAGGTTTTCATAAACTCCATTCATGTAGGTTTCAGTGGTCTCATTCTGGGCCGATACATGGTTTAGCCTGTATAAGATGGTATGCAAGAAATGGAACCAATGGATGGGACAACAATTACCTTTGTGGGCAGAGGCATACGGGTGAGCGTGCAAAGGGGGGAAAAGACAAGGTTAAAATAAAGAAATTACTAGGCAAAATTTTGAGAAAGGAAGGAAAATTAAAGGAGAGAAAAAACGTCTTCAATGGGACCTTTGCCTCTTGCCTTTGAACTGCTTTTTTGGGCGGCAAGAACATTTGTCATTAAGTGGTCTTATAGATTAACCTCTTAATCGTTCGTACGAATCTTTCATACGTATTTTTTAATTCTCAATTCATTCTTTCTAGGGATTATGGCGATATCTGCTGCTTTCAATCAAGCACCCCGTGCAGCCAATGAGAATCGTAGAACTGTCGTGACGAACGGAGTCTGGAGCGCGTGGTCGTCATGGACTCGTTGTAGTAAAACGTGCGGTCATGGAAACCAGCGAAGAACGCGAACATGTAGAGGTGGTCGACACTGCTCTGGTGAAAGAATGGAGACTAGGGAATGTACCGTTGCTGTTTGTCCAAATTGTGAGTCTAACGCCATAATTCTTCCCTTTTGATCTAACAAGGCCTTGACAAAGCCTTTTTTCCGCAGCTTGCAACGGGGTGTTAAGAGAGGATCAAGGAAGTCTGATTTCACCCAACTTCCCCTCATATCCACAGAATTCGCGCTGCGAATGGAAAATTATCGTAGGAACCGGAAAGAAGATAAAAATAAAGTTCAATTACATGCGGCTGAAAGGTACAGTAATCAAATGGCGTGGAGATTTTGTGTTTGGTATCTCGATTCCGGTGAATCATTCACTAACCAAAGCAATTTCAACCGATAAAGCTATCCAGACTAAACAAATCTATCTTTCCTCTATCCAGCCAACTACACAAGATGTTCGTTGGACAATTTAATCGTCCGAGATGGAGACAACAGCCAAGCGCCAATCCTGAAATTGTTCTGCAGTAATTTAAACTCAGTTGTGACGGTCGAGTCAACGGGCAACAGTATGCTCCTGCAGATGCGAGCAAGCGACAAACTTCGAAGGGGAGGATTTAAAGCGCAGTGGACCAGTGAAATGCAGGGAAGACAAGGTATACGATTGATGCAGATCGATTTCGGCCATTTGTGGCATAGGGACCAAGGGGCGATTCTAACTTCCACGAAAGTTTGATAGTGCTTTGATAGTGTTTGATAAATCAATAATCTTTGCCTACTTTTTTACAGTCTCGTGTGACATGAAACTGACTGGTAATTCAGGAATTTTAACGTCGCCCCTCTATCCTCGCACGTACCCAAGTAACACAGAATGTACATGGTTGATCACCGTGCCTGTCGACCGTGTTCTTCAAGTGAGATTTCAAGATTTTAGTCTGGAGAAGCACAGTAAATGTTCATATGATAAAGTGGAAGTTTACGATGGCGGTTCGGTAAGATCACCAAAGAAAACCTATTGTGGGGGAGAAAATCCAGGTATGCATTATGATGATAGGTTTGATTATGATCATGATTATGATAATGAAATGACTGTGATTATGATATTGAAAATAATGATGATGATTATTATATTGATGGTAGTGTGATGGTAGTGATGATTATGTTAATAATAAGGTGATGATAATGGTCATTATGATGATTAAATTGATGAGGAATGAGGATGATTGATGACAGGTGAGATAGTGATAGGCATGATTGCGGTGATTGTGATTATGATGATGAAAATAACGATGGTAATGATTATATTGATGGTAGTGTGATGGTAGTGATGATTATGTTAATAGTAAGGTGATGATAATGGTCATTATGATGATTAAATTGACGAGGAATGAGGATGATTGAGATGGAATTGTGACGCTGGTTTTGGTGAAATCGCAATGATTAACCAACATCAGTTGGTGAAGGTAGTGATAGTTATGATTGTGATGGGCGCGTTCATGACGATAATAATTACAGCAATTGTAATGATGATGAAGATAATCATGATTATGAAGGTAATGAAAATTACGTTGATAAGAAACATTATACACTCCTTAGGTACCATAACAGCATTCACGAACCGCATGATCATCAAGTTTAGAAGCGACGCAACAAGAAACTACCGCGGATTCAAGCTTTTGTGGTTCACAACAAGGCGTCGTTTTTAGAGGTATTCCTGAATGAAATTGTTGTTCGGCAAATCCCCCTTCATCGTTTACCTTCATTTTAAGTCAACTGGATTTTTACGGCGAATGTATGAATGCTCTATATAACATGTAGGACAACATTCGTAAAGGGAAATACATTATGCATGACTTGACCTGATATTCTGGCATCTGATATCGTGAGGTAACATGAGAATATAGTAATTGTTCAATTCAGCGCAATGTAAGTGGTCAATATAATCGCACTTCAAAGGCGTATATTGTCATATAGATTTCTATAGGTAATTGTTGCTTTGTAAATATTGGTATAAATATATATATTAATTAGAATGCGGTTGCATAATTTCACTTATCTGGTGTTGTATACGCTTACTTTAGTTTAAGAACGTGAGCGAACACTTGTATCCTATCAACTTCACCTCTTCTTTTCGACTTTATCCCTATTGCAGCGAGTCCACTGCACTCTTTTCTCTCCAAGGTCGATTATACAGTATTGCGGTATATACAACCTCCACTAAATTTTTTTTCGCCAAGGTCGAGTATACCATATTCCGCCGGTGAATTTTGATTCCCATTAACTTTTTTATTGCCATGGTCGAGTGTACCATATTCCGGTAAATTCGATCTTCGCTATATGTTTATCTATTCCGGTATATTCGATCTTCACTAATTTTTTTATTGCCATGGTCGAGTATATACCATATGGTTGAGTATACCATATGTACTGTGAACGTGTCTGCTGAATCAACAACCATATCATTATAGATCTGTGTATACTTTGCAGAAAGTTTGCTAAATTTTTTTACGCAGTTAGCTGATTATAATTTTGGGAATAATGTTTACCATTGCATTCATCGTATGCAAAAGAGAATATTAATTTTACACCTTATCTATATAACACAATTAACTTCTATTAACTACAAGCTCTTGCATCAACGTTACGAGCGTCCCGAATTACCCAACAGAAACATTTGTCGCAAAAGAAAGTTTCACTCATTACGTTTACACCACACAGAATGTCACAATGCAAAAATAAAAGTTTTGATATACTATTTTTAACTTGAATTACTTTGGCGGTTGTAGGGAAGAGAGTTTTTTCTCCAACTAAATACAGTGACTGTTATTTCGAAAAGTAAGCCGAACAAAAATATCAAACTAAAACGCGTTTAATCAGGGTTCAATATGGCATTTCTCCACACAAATGACCAGTTTCACCATGTTCGATCGTTATACAACATATACATTATTCTTCAAGCTTAACACTTTGTTCCACAACATCATTTTCCGTTTGCATATTACTCTCAAGTTGCACAGTGTTACTTTCAAGTTGCACAGTGTTACTCTCAAGTTGTGCAGTGTTACTTTCAAGTTGCACGGTTTTACTCTCGAGTTGCATAGTGTTACTCTCAAGTTGTGCGGTGTTACTGTCAAGTATATTCACAGAACTGTCATTTTCGTCTTGTTCAGACATGGTATTGCCTGGTTTATCTGTGACTTGTTGTTCCGTTTGCATTCTGGCTTTCCTTCGTTGTCTGTAGGCAGCCTTTTTACGCTTTAAAGCTTCCTTTTTCATGGTCAAGTCCTCTTTGAAAATCTCTTTGATTTGCTCATCTGTTGCGTAGTTGCTCGATTTCAACAAGGTAAAAAACACTCCACCACTTGTGCGCCTTTGAGAAGAAAAAGATTGATAAATAGTCCATTTTAAAAACCTCTTTTGAAAACACACACAATACCTTCTTGATCCATTACAAGTCTTCATTCCACCACTAAGTTGGATTCTTTTAGTCTCCTTGAAAAGTTCTAAGACTTTCTTTCCACCAATGACCTTCACAGTTTCGATAATCAATGCAAATTTGTGCTACATTAATGAAAATTGAAAAAAAATATTTTCATGCATATCTCTTCTACCGTAGTGTATTGAAACAAACAACACATTCCTAGTCAAATCATTTTGTATGTCATTGATAAAGTTTGCTATAGTTTGGTCATTAGAAATTCAAACTCAAAGTAGAAGAGAACTACCAGTTATTGGATTACTCAGTCATTTGTTTTGCTAGTCATTCCAACAAGTGACAAACAAAATCAAGTTCATACTTCCTCAAGTCTCTCCGCGATTTCTTTTCCAATCTTCACTGGATTATCATGCCATCTCACACGCAATTGTTTGCATAAAGTTTTCATGCTGGGTCTGCGTGGAATATCGTCTACTCTATTAGAGTGGTGGCCTTTTTTGCCTAAAATAGCATTGGCAACACTTAGACAAGATTACAGCGAGGATGTCTTTACCTAAATGTCTCTTGCTTTTAATTGTCAAAATACATGCTATTTTTGCTTCACCAAAAACCATGATTGTAGTTAAAATTCTGCTAGAACAGTTGTCTAATGTAACTGCCATAAACTAAGATAATCTTCAAGGAAGATTGTCCACAGTCTGCATATACATGTATGTATTGCAGTCTGCATGTTTCATCTTTAGTTTACCTTCATTTGCTGCATGTCACATGCATGTGTCATTGAATGTAAACTGCATTACATGTAAACCTACACCTAAGAGGTAAACTACCATCGTTATTATCATTTCTACCTAATTTCTCGTAGGGAATACTGTCCTCAAAAGCATTCGATTCTGAACAGTCCATAAACTCTACACTGTGATCTTTTCGGGCTCCTAATCGGCTCTTTACCGAGCCTCTAGAGCACAGCATCGCATCGTCTTTCAAATCGTATTGTTCTAGACTTTGCATAAGTTTTTGTTTCGCTTCTGTCAGTGATATATAGTCACTTGGGTCAAACGCAGTGGTTAATTTTTTTTCAACATTAGAATTTTGCGTTTCGTTTCTTTGGGGTATTTCAGCTTCAAATTCGTTGTCTTGCACGCTTAACTCCAACGCGTCGTCCATCGTAGCTGCCTCTGAACCACAAATCGGTGAAATAAAAACAAATTTTGTTGTTGTTTTCCTCCTCGTTTATTTTGGAAATTTCGACCACAGAATGAGTTGGGGCGCGCTAGAGGGTACACTTTTATATTGGAATTCCGCTGCCTAATTTTGGCTGATTGCAGTTGTTCAATATAAAAATGAAGAAAATGCAGTCCTTGGATAGTTTTAGCAGTATTTTTAAACTAGATACACATGAAAATTGCTGGGAAAAGATTTATAAACTATTTTCTTTCTTTGAAATTTAACAAGTCTTACGAAAGTTTATGTTTTTTTAACGAACCCCCGTTAGCTCTCGCCCGTTCGCAGGCTTGCTTCATAAATTTTCATAAATTATAATAATTATGACTGATATTTGGAAAAATTTTGTTTTGACACGTGGTGCATGAAGAACAAAATCTGTGGATATGGATTTGATTTTTTTTCAGTTTTGTGCCTGAAAAAGCACTTTGTTCAACAATTACAAGCCATGACTTGATTTTCAGAAGCCTCGAATGTAAGTATTTGCATTGTAGTTTTGTTTTGAGATATCTCACAGCTTATAAACCCTAAAAGAATTTATTTACTACTTTATAGAACTTGATTATTTTGAATTAGTATAAAGAGCAATCGATTACATGTTAAAGTTAAGCAATCCAAATCACCAGTTTGAATAAAGGCAATTCATTCGTATTAATAGTATAAATAGTATTCAGGTTATTTTAATTCAGAGAGTTGAAATATATTATTTGCAAGTTTTACTGTACGTATGGCTGCTTTCTAGGCCCCCTGGTAGTTAATTTGTCAGACATTAGACATTGACATTCATTGCACCTTTAGTAGTAGACCGGTCTGATCCCTGAGCTATTGCAAAATGTATAATTAACAATTCTCTTACACTTGACTCATATATTGGCAGTACTCTTCCACTGATGAGTAAAGGCATAAGACAGCTGAGTAAAATACTAAAGTAGGCCACATCTGGGTGCATTGCAAGCTAATAGGTTAAAAAATTAACAGTTAACATTGTCTCTGTTGTTGGAATGTATTTTTTATAAAAGCTGTGTATTTTATGATAGCATGCAAGTATGAGTGATGTTGATGATGGGGAAGATTTGGAATTCTTAAAAGCATTTGAAGATGAATTATATAATGACCAATTGTCAGTTGGCAGGTACCTAAATAATATATTACTTGTGTATTTTCATTTCATATTTGTTTTTGACACATGACACAAAGCCGAATCACTTGTTGGTACTGGCTGGGTTTTTTTTCTATTGTTCATACCTACTAGAGAAGTAATTTGTAATGAGAAAAAGTGATTTTGGTTCTTGTTTGTTTTTGCTTCTTGCTCAATTAAGATTGTTTTGTAATTTCAGCGAGGACAGTCTTGATAGTGAGTTAGAGGCAGAACTCTATCAAAGTGTTCATTTTGCATCATCTCTGGTAGAAACCCCAACCAATGATAGCAAAGGTATTTTATAACATGTAAAATTAAATTCTTATGCAGCAGAGCATTGGAATTTAAAATGTGAACATGTGGTCTCTAAGACTGGCTTTGTGTCTCATTAATAGAAGAAAAAGTTATTAATAAACCAAATGAATCCACAAGTTTGGAATCACAGATAGAACAATGCAATTTTGATAGTCCTGATAGACAATCCGAATTTGAAGAAAGAAAGCAATTGGATCAAGTAGATGGTCCTCATAATGGACAACAGGCAAAAGATACATCCAAAAACCTTTATCCAGAAGTTGAGCTGGTGTTTGCGAAAGATGAACAGAAAAATAAGTTATGCAATGTGAAGGTATTTGTCGATATACCAGTACATAAAGTTTTCATAAGGCAAAAACTTATTCAACTTTCAAATTTTGGTTATCTTATCTAGGGTAAAACTGGAGTGTTGTTTGAAGAAGCAAAAACTGATGGTGGTGAATCAGACAATGGTGGTTTATCTGACGGCAATGGATGGGGGATAGTAGCTGCTGATATGATTGTGAGTACATATAGACAATATTGCATTGTATCAAATAATTCAAATAGTATTGTCTAAATATTCACAGAGTGAATGCAATACAGGTGTGAAAAATGAAAACACGAGAAAATGCATTAACTTTTTCAGCAGCCTGTCAAGAAGGTGAAACGACTCAATGTCCGTTGTTTTAATTGCAATGAAAAGGGACATCGGACTTTAGAATGTACAGCACAAAAGGTATTTCTTCTCTAGTAGTTTCTAAAATGTAGGAGAGAATTTGTTATTTCATACCCTGCTGGTCAGGTTGACACTAGGTCAAGGTGCTTAGGCTTTAGGTGCCCCCCCCCTCACTTCTCCTTCACCTCCTTGAGTTTTGTCCCCCCCCCCCGGGTGTCTGGTGCATACTGGTTTTAAACAAGGTTACATTTGTTGTTTTACTTGCTTTTTTATTCATCAATGCTGGTGAGATCCTCGAGTTAACTTTGAGGTAATCTACTCTTCCGTGACGTTTTGTAGAAAGAGAAGGTCTGTTGGCTGTGCGGTGAGATCGGCCACCTTCGAAAATATTGCAAAAACGACTTGTGTTTCAATTGCAATCGAACCGGCCATCAAATAAAGAAATGTCCACAGCCTCGACGAGCTCCTCATCACAGATGTAGAAGATGTCGTGCACACGGACATTTTGAAAGTGTAAGCTTGTCGTTTGTGACGCTTTCGCATGCCACAGTATGTAAGCCACCACTTCTGGCTGGTAGAATGTGTGTGTACCGCTGCACCACTTGAGGTGATTGATAAACAGCAATTCTTATGAAAAATCGTTGAATATCGCTGTGCCATAGAGATTAATGGCTAGTTTTGCTGAACTGAGGTGGTTTATTAACAGAACATTTATTTTTACAACAATTGTTTAGCAAAAAAAATCGGCATATCGTACTGGGAGTGTGTGAATATTGCAATAAAACTTCCAGCCTAAATGAATATATGTGTTTTGTTTCACATCTTAAAAACTTTACTCAGTGTATACTCATAGTTTGTGTGATACCTGATACATACTTGCACTTCCCTTTCATTTTAGTTTTGCCCGGATCGGTGGAGACAATATCATCATACAGTAAGTGAAACGGAGCGCTTTGTTATACTGGATAGCGCCATCTCTTCAAATCTTTTCATCCTGTTCAACCATTTCCTTGTAGATCAATCAGGGTGAAATGGTGCAGGCAATACAGCCCGAGTCAATTGAAAGACAAGACTTTTTCTGTTATAATTGTGGTGAAAAGGGCCATCTCGGACATGTAAGTTTTCCGTGTGAACCTTCAAGAACATTTTTCAATCCAAAATCAAATCTATGGGATGCGGACGTGAAGTAATACTGCCATTATTTCAACAGTATCACAACTGGTTTGAAAGTGATAGACTCCTTTTGGTAAACAAAGCCAGAACTGTGGATAGATGTAAAATAAATTAAAACTATTATCGTGCTGTAACAATAGAGGCCGAGTCACGTCCGCATTGTAGATTTGTTGAATCATAAACTAATGCGATCTCCAGAATCTACGAATATAGTTCTCAATCTAATCCTTTCGGATCAGTAGTTGGGTAAGAGTCAGGATTATAGGATAAGGTTTGGGATTAAAGTTAAGATTATATTCGGATTTATGATTATATATAATCGTTTCGGATTATAGTCTCGTGTATCTGCATGAAAGACGCACAAAAGATGCAATACTTATATAAATTATGTGAATTTGTATTTGGAAACTTTTAGGAGTGTTTGGAAGAGATGCCATTTTTTTCCTACCGTACATTTCCTTTCGTCGTGAAATATGACAGGTTTACCAGCAAATTTTCGCAAGTGGACGGAAACAATAAAACCGACGGCAACACGAACTTGACTTCGGAACCGGGCGGCAAAAAATCGAAGAAGAAAAAGAGGAAAAGGAAACGTGCAGCTGAGGAAGAGGCCTTTTGGGAAGAGAAAAAGGCGGGACTGAAACGAAAAAAGTTGGGGGATAGTTCGGACACTAAGGATCTGTCGGGGAATCCCCGGGTTAATTGGAGACTGTCGAGGGAGAATCGTTGCGATCAACTAGAGACATTCACAGGTATCAATTCTGTCTTTTTATTGCAATATTGAGAAAATTGAGATGCGCTTTCCTTTTGTTGTACTTTGTGACTAACAATGAGACCAGAGACTACAGCTTGATGGTGCAAATCAACCCAGTCTGCCTGCGCCTTACATGTGGACGTCGCGTGATTTAACTTTTCAAAATTTCGCTTGAACATTTCTTTTGCAGATTTCAATCACGTAACGTCAAACCTACCACTGCAGCCGTTGATGGACATCGGCGAAGTTTCCCGCGGTAAAAAGAAGAAACGGAGGAAGACAAACGCTCATGAGCATTTGGCGGAGGAAGGCCCCGTAAAGAAGAAAAAAGCCAAACCAAACCGAGATAAAAGGAAAAGACTGAAAAAAATGAAACTCCAACAGAAATTTGGAAACAAAGTGAGTTGGATATTGGGTCGATGTATTACATTAAAAATAGTCGTAATATAATATTTATTGAAATTTAAGTGAAGGTTCATTTTGAAAGACCTACTGGACTTTTCGAAATTCTTGCCTTGTAAATGAAAACTATATTAAACGTAGTGGTTCTTGGGTTTGACTCGCGTCTTCTTCTGCTATGTTTTTAGCAAATTTATGAACAAAAAGTGCTGTTGTAGATAAATACTTGTCCTTTCCATCACTTGCTGGACAAAAAGCATTGAGAAAATCTTTATGCATGTCATCACCTTATTTGTGTATCTATTTTACCTTTTAGATTAATCTGGAGTCACCAACATTCAACTCAATCTCTGCATCTCATTCTACGAGAAGCGCCGCCTCGATGGATGGGACCCCAACTACGATGAATACCTCTACGAGGAATGCCACCCCAATCTCTAGGAGGAGGTATGCTACGAGAAGTGCCACCTCAATCTCTGAGACGCACCATACGAAGAGTCCCACCTCTGCGACGAACCCTGCGAATAGTGTCACCCTAATGCCTGTCACGAACGCTACGAAGAATGCCACATCAAATTCGTCGACGCTGTCCACGGCGAATGCCGGCACTGAAGAGAATATAGTCTTTCAACTTGGAAAGGAGAAGAGACTTCTTGTCATACAAGAGGCGGATAAAAAACCTTGGAGGCGGAAGCACAAAAGTGCTGGGAACAAACGGAAGGTTTATTATAAATATGATGGATTTTTGTAGAATAATTAATTTTAGTAATTCTGCATCAAATCGAATCCCCGGTTTGGGGAAGAACCTCGCCTCTCTAATAAACTCCCTCACCAACCATAGTTAATGGACCAACTTCTTACTGTGCATCTAATCCTTCAACTACCTTGACTGCAGCTGATAGCTATTTCCTGATTAGAAGACTTGGTTTTCGGAAGAAGAGGCAAAAACGTACGATTTATGCACGTAAAATGCAACTTCAGTCTTTCGTCCCCTACTTGAATTCAACCTACACATTTATCATTAAGCCTGCGATTAGAAAATTTAGGCCGAAAAATACGTGATAACATGATGATATCGATAATAATACAAATAATTACCTTTTTTTACCTAATTTATTCATTGTAAACATTACCCTTGGAGGTGTGGTTATTATTCAACTCTCAACCAATCATCGTTCACTTCTTTATCGTCGCTACTTAAGTCACGTGTGCCGTTCGCGTGCTATGATTGGCTGAATCGGCCTACCTGTTCAAGTAGAGCTCATGCATTATGGCTGGCAACTCGTGATACTTGTTTACATTTTGAAATTGGATAATATACACGTTTTGGAGCATCGTTTTGTTTTCGTTTCACTTCGAAGGGAAAGTCCTTCTATTTAAGTAACTGTAGCTGGAAATTGGAGAAGGGTAATCGAAGATTCGCTAGATTTTTCCCAGCCAAAAGTCGAGCTCTGTGCAACAACGAACAGCGTATAAAGTTACATCTCTGAACTGAGTCGACGCTGAAGTTGGGTTTGCTTGTGGTTTTGCTTTATTGTATTTTGGTTTTCAGCGAGGAACGAGGTTACTTAAAAGCTCAGGTAAAACTAATTGTCCCATTGGGGATTATTTCGTATGTTAAACATCAGGCATTGTGTAGTGTTTTGTCTGAGAGTCTGTGAAACTGAAACACCTGTATGTATAATTATATCGTAGAAACTAGCATTTGTAAGGATTCGAGTTTGTAGGCCAGTCAGCTTGTTTTGCAGTGTGTTTTTATTAAATAGAAAGTCAGCTTTGCGCATATCAAAGGAATTCGATAAACCTATAAAGTGATGTGCGAAGGCCCGGACAGGATGACTTTCTCGTTGCCTATTCTCATTGATCTGTCATACTTTATTACGTTTATAGCACATTGTCAAACGCCTTGGAAACGCGCTAAATCTTTATTATTTTTTTGCAGAATTTTTAAAAGCTGCCTTAGTTTTCAAGGAAACCGCGGCTTTGGTTAATTGGTCGCTAGTTGTAATCTGATTTCGTTCCAATTCGAGTTTGTTTTGGCAACTAGAGAAGCATGTTTTGAATGTTCCCACTTTAAAGTATTTCCTATCACAATGGTTTTTAAGCAAGAATCGTGTAAATCGATGACTTCCAATGCAAGGATGAACTGCACAAATATACGGCCTTGAGAGAAATCTGATGTGTTAAAGCACTTTCAAGGAAGGAATTGGTTTTTATATAAAAGTGGTTTTATACGACTTTTGTGAGTTTGGCAGTATTCGTATATTGGCATCCAACTCCTTGAAATTTTGGCTTGAAATTTATCTGTGTATAGATACCAAATTTGAAGAGGCAAAGAGCTTGATATAATATAGTGTATATATTGTATATATATATATATACGCATACCAGTCTGGGATATTTCTGTGGAGAGTTTATGTACAGCTGTTTGTATGAATAGCATTTAGGTTGCATATATATTGTATATGCAAAACTTTTGTGTGATCGTGTAACTACAAGTTCAAAAGGCTTTACAAAATATTCAAGAAAAGTGTCTCTAAAGTGTGCCTGTGTAAGAAAGGCAATTTGGTAGCCCTAATTGACAGCTGTGGTAGTATTCTTGGACTTTAATTGCTCAATTATTCAACCGTTAACTAGTGGGCCTTTTGTGTGACACAAGATTTAAAGGCAATACTTATATTGAACTTACTGATCATCATATGAGGATATAATGATGGAGAGATGAAATATTTGAGAAGTCCAAGCTACTCTGTCGAAAAGTTTCAGAAATCGGTAAGATCAAGTAATTGTATTTGTTTGTCTGAAATTTAGTGCAGTGTTGCAAAATTTAAGTCAGATATGGATTATTGTATGATAAAATTGCGTGGTTTGCAGCTGAAAGCTCAAAATTTCAAGTAAAGGCCCCAGACAATTCTATTACAATTCTTTTTCCTGTACAAACAACATGAGCAAACACGCTTGTTTGCCATTAGAGGGATTAAAAAAATACCAAGCAGGTGGATCCAGTTACATAACTGGTTTTACAAGTGCTGCCAAATAAAATGTAGTTCTCTTTCACCAAAGTGAACCTGTCTGGTGTCAGATGGAGTAGAAAACTGCAGTAGACAGCCAATATGTGCTATCTTTTAGTATGTGTCATTGTGTTAGAGGAAGTGCATTGAAAATTTGTCAATACAATTTTTTATCTTACTTTACTGTTAATTATTGAAATGAGGCAAAGAAAATAGTGTATGTAAAGCTTGTTCTGAAACTGAAGTTAAAAAAAAACTTCAGAAGCTTGCTCAGTTTATGGGAATTCTTTTTTCTTCAACATAATATATGTATAAGAAGGATGTCACCCTTTTTTTGTAATTTCACTCTTCCCAAGTGTGACTATTGTGTTGTTAGTCGGGTTAGAACCAAGTTGATAGATCCCGTCTGCTATGAGATTTGAACCTGTGACCTTTGTGGCTCTTGTCCACAGCCGCTGTTCTTAGAATTTCATGTCTGTTTTTGTTTATAGGAAAGCTCAAATAGTTCAGCACGAAGTGGTATCGAAGAGCAAATGGCGAAAATGAAAAAGATGATAAGGTCTCCAATGAGCAAGCGAAAGCATGAGGGTGAGTCATTTTGCTGATTTATTTGGAAATTTTTCTTCGCTCTTACCACTTCAAAATGAATCGATAATTTTCAGGTGGGTCCAAGCAGTGAGAACAAGGCCGAAAACTAGACTAAATAGAAATGAAAAGCCTATATTAGGGTCAATTTTAGCCACCTGCGGTAATATTGGTCCATGTTTCATGAAACATGAATATTAATGTTTATAAATTTCCTCTGATTTCGATTTTACAAGGTAATACGGCTCTTAATCCACCGAAGACATTTGGCGTTGCGCTTGATGAATTGTTACAGAGAAATTCAGAGAACAGTGAAATACCTTATGTGCTGGAGAGAATCACTGAATACATTGTTTGTTATGGTAAGTTGTCCTAATGATCCTTGTAGTGTAAATAGATCAATCATCCTGAGGGGCTTAGCAAATTTGATCTGCTGCAGAACACATCAGGTCGTAATGATTTTTTAATTATTTTTAAGCCATGTTATACCTCTTGAAGACTCCAGCACTGTTCAAACTAACATTCTATAATATCCAACTATCATTTTTTTGTACAGGAATGAAACAAGAGGGAATATTTCGTGTCAATGGAAATGCAAAAGTTATGGAGAAATTGAAGTCGGACTTTGATAAAGGTAGGTTTCATGCATAGTACACTTTCTTTCATGCCTCAAGAATGTAATTTAGTTCATCTGTTAGTTTAAATTTGCCTTGAAAATTAAGGGCTGTATTCTCACACCCATGTTCCTGGTTTGACATATTCAGGAGAATGTTGGAACACAAAATAATGTCTTTTTCATTTTTTTTAAGATGGTGATGCTAATTTAGAAAATAGTGGTGATGTTATGTCTGTTGCAGGACTGATGAAAATGTTTTTGGTATAGTTCCATGATATTTTTTCGTTTGACAGATGTTTACTAGCGAAAGTTGTTAGAACTAAAGCTCAATGCAATAAGTGTTCATATATTTGTTCTGCCTAATGGATTTCGTTTCTATCTATATGAGTTTTCAAAATAATGGTCTAGTTTAAAACAGTTTTGTTTGTCTTACAGAGAGAGCTACCAGAACCATTGATTCCAAATAATTTTATGAAAGCATTCATGCAAGTTCACAAAGGTAAAAGATTGTTGTATCATTGTCAAAACTCTTAGTTATAATCATTGTTTGATGAATCTATAGATTTCTTACCTATTTTGAGCTCAACTATGGCTAAAAGCTAAACAAATTATGTACATTAATTTGTATGCAGTTAAACCAGCCAATTTCATGCCCAGGTGCATACTGCACAGTGGCAGGTATTGAGAGTTGAAGTGCATTGTTTCATAAATTTGAAACTTGATTGATTCTTTTCTCACCAACCATTCAACATAGCAAACTAACCACTGGCTGTTGTGTCAAATTAACAAATTAATTGTCTTTTCTTAGAATATCATTCAGACAAGGATGAATGTTGTGTTCGCATGAGGTACGATTCAGTTTAAAATTTTATCTCTTGCTAGATGATGCATATAATGTATTTGCAATATCATCGGCATGGTGATTCTCTGGTCACACATGTGACAATTTGCTGTTTCTTCAGCCTTCGTATTTTGCATGTAACAAAATAGAATAGCATTGTCACGTGTGTGACCAGAGAATCACCCAGCAATATTCTGATGCTTATATAGAGATTTGGCTGGGAAGTTGCCAGAGCCAAGAAGAAAACTACTGAAGTTTCTTTGCCGTTTTTTGGTTCATATGTCTTTGCATCAGGGTAAGTCATAGATGTGGTGTGTGCTAGCTGGCTTTGGTGATCAGGGTAGTTATGTAAGTACATTTACAGGGTGGTAATAGGTACGTGTATGGGGTACGTGTATGGTTCATAAGTGTACGGAGTATTTGCAACGTAAAATACTCTCAGCACTGAGAACTGCATACTGGTATAGTTCCTGGGATTACTACTGTAGGGTGTCAGTGTATATGTACTATGTGCCAGTGAATTTTGAAGTAACTACATACGTGTATCGAGTTCCAATTGTATTAGAGTTCATTGGTTGTCATACGATAGGACCCCACCTCTCTCCCCTTCCCCCTTTCGACCTCTTCCTCGCGGACCAAAGCAAATATCTTTGTGCTGTGAACTTTTGAGAATCAAAATTTTATGACAGTTTATGTTTGTTTTAGATTCAAACAAGATGAACGCAAACGCTTTAGCGATCGTCTTTTCACCGAATCTATTCAGGTATTTGTCGTGTTTTAACGCGTTCCGAATGCATTTTGGCAAGTAAAAGTCAGTTTTCCATTGTTCAAAGGCTATTACGGTATTCGAGGAATGATTTTACAGTATGTGGTACTGTGCGAATTACAAACGATCAAATTCTATCAATTTGTGAACGTCGTCTTTTTTATTAATATGAAAACCATAAACCACTAAAGAAAATATCGACCAAATAATCAAGATCAAATTTTTTGTGTCCAGATCCTTAAGGCGGTGTTACACTATGCAACTTTCCTTGCGACTTGCGATGCATTTCTAATTTTGAGGGATGTTAATTTGTAAAGAGTGTTCGAAATGCTAAGAAAACGTTAGCAGATCGTAAGAAATGTTTGTATTTGACAACTTTAGATGCCTCAGGAGTAGAATTGCCTTGCAAGTTGCAAGGAAAGTTGCATAGTCTTAAGGTCTGTTCACGCGATCCAATTTTGTTGGATCCAATTCACTTCTGATAGATGTTTAATAGTCTGTTGACTTGCAATGAATATGGGCAGCAAATACACTGAAGCCAATTGAGTATTGCTTTATCGATGATACACTACATCCATTACACGTCAGAGGTGAATTAGACCTTAACACCGCCTTTATTGTGGTCTGCAACGCGCGTCACAGACCGCAATATTGAACTGGACACCTCATCTTCTGGGATATCTCGGGCTATCAATAGTGGCCTGGCGGTTGGTTCAATATCATCTAAAGTGGTTTCGTTTGTTAACTTTGTTTTCCTTATTTACCAGATGCAGTGACGGCATTGAAGGATTCCGGGAGCAATCAGTTACCAACAGTATCGTCTTAATGTTTATCGATAACTACAACATGATTTTTAAGGTGGGAAATATTTCAACGTACAGTAGATACTCCTAAGTTGCATGTAGAAATTGATGCACCGAATGGAATCTAGCGGCTCTTGGAAACAGGAACCACTTGTAGTCGTACTAATATTTTCAAAATCTCCCCTGGTCCGATCTTCAAAATGAAAACTCGAAGTTTCCGTCTGTGTGAATTTTTTACCCTCTACCGCGAGGACTGTTCACTCTAGAGTCAGACAACTGAGACAAGTCTGAAGAAACAGATAAACAGGGAAAAAACGGACGTCTTGCAAACCCTAGACTAATAAAGACTTACTCCTGTATATCTAAGAGCTCGCTCAAACCCTTTCATTAAGTGGAAGACCTTCTCATAACACTTCCATGGCGGTGTTTTCGTTCGAATAACAACTCGATTTTTAGCGTCTAGCCTTGAATTTTTCCATTGATTAAGAAAGGCTTTTAACATTGTTAATTACAATTGGTAATTGGCGATAACAATTTCTATGTCGCAGTGTGAGTCCGTGTGAGTGCGAATGAACTTTTTGAATACAGGCGATAGGCTGGTTTATCTCATAATAATAAAACCACGATGATATTACCTTCATTAGGATAAAGACGAGGAACCGCCATCGCTTGCTAATTTCATTCAAGTACAAGAGGCGAGGTATGATACGAAAATAGCAGGGCGCTAAACATTCCCCATTTCTTTGTTGTGGTATTGTCTCGTGGTACGTTTTTTTCGCATCATTTCTGTGAATCACTACCCACACAGGAAATCAGCACTCAGTCGTCGAGGCTATAGCGTGTATATGCATGCAATATATATGTATATACGTGCGGTGTGGATATGGGAAGTCGCTCCATCTGTTTGTATTTCTTCATTTCTCGTGTAGAGACAGCAGTTTCACCGGTCCTCCAGCGACGCCAATACCTTATGAACAGCATAAGAAATTGAAAGGACGCAGGGACAAGGTAGGGTAATGATGGATATATGAATGTTGAAATAATAACAGTGGCAGGTAACGGATGTGTTTAAGGCGAGTGAGGGCCTTCAAATTTCTCGAAACTTTTTTACTATAGCAGGTTTTCTTAGAAAACACTGTAGGACGTATGAGCGAGTTCTGTTTCGCTCGCGTGTTTTGAAATCTTGGTTTATTTTGATAAAGTATTTCGTGTTATTGTTGTCTAGACATCGTCGCCATCCAACGAGACACAAGAGATGATCAGTCCTTACGCTGAGTACCGTCTAGGCGACGATAATACTCTGGTTATCGGCGATGAACCCAAACTTAAAATCGAGAATCATATTTATGCTTCGGTCAGCAAAACCCAAAGAGAAGCCATACGCAATTCAACAATGTTAGTACCGCTTTCCTTCGTGCTTCATTAAGAAATCAATAACACGTCAGGGGCCAGTTGTTTGAGAGTTGGATAGCGCTATCCACCGGATAGTGATTTTTTCAACCGTTCTAAAAATGCTTGAAAAGCAATAAAATTTCAGCTTTGGAACAAAAACCCTCGATTTAGTGATACTAAGATTTAATCAAAGTTATATCCAACAACGGGCGATTTTAAAGCGATTGAAAAAAAGCACTATCCGGTGGACAGCGCTATACGGCTTTCATACAACCAGCCCCCAGGAATTTTGCTAGTACTATGACTTATTAGCTATATCGCTATAATAAAACGGGAATTTTAAAAAACAGAAATTGAGCAAGCTGGTAGTTTTGAATTCAGAGAGCTTTATATTCAGATTCTTTATATTCGTGGATGTTTGATATGATTAAACTTGCGAGACAAAAAGTGAAATTATGAATTGTGGTTCATATTTTGTATTTATTTCGTACATTATTTTTATAAGTAATTAAGGTCCGTTAACCCGGGCCTTCATCAGTGCAATCGTACTTATCGATTGTCACCATGCAAACGTACAAGAATATTAATATTTTTATAGTTATGATCTTTCTTCGGAAGAGGCAGAACCATACATACGATCAAATTCGCCATGCTGGCAAAAACCAAATGGGTAAGAACTAATCTTTGGCTCAATTCTGGCGCACACCCCAATCTCACCTGGCATAGTTCGCCCATCCGCAGGCTAACCTAAACACTGATCTGCAAAAAATACTGGATAACGCAACCTATTGCGCGCTGGTCCAGAAACAAGATTGTTGTACATACCCCTCAAATGCACAGCTCTTTTAGAGAAGAGCTTGGAGCTATTCTGCCCAAGTCTTTTTTAAATTGCCCGAGTACACCCATACTAACCGTAGCTTCGGGTTTTTTAAACTTAGGGAGGCATCAAGTCCTAAGATGGGAGGATCTTCGCCCAAATCAAGGAAAGAGTAAGTTGTTGAATATCAAGATATTATAATTTTATATAGGGTTCTGTAATTTGGACACAATTTATATTTGCCGTGTGATTTTCTTAACTCACCAGGTTCATGGAGAGAACAATTAAAGAAAGCATCAAAGAACATTTGTTTGGACACAATCTGACATCCACCAGCGAGGTAGGTTCTTCACATGCGAAGCATCCAATGATTTTGGCAAAAATTGCGATTTATTTTGTGCGAATCTGCGACATTCAACAATAAGCCCTCGCGAACTCGTCTCCGACATACACCAAAATGAGGAAACTGACCCCTTGCAGTCCACTCTTGTATTGAACGCTGCCTATTCGATCATTCGTTTCCTTTGTAAAACTTAAGCGCTAAACCCAGGACAATAAGCAGGCGAAGCACTTTTTGAGCACAGTTTAATCAGTTCAGTTCCAGTTCAAGATTATATCAGACACTTTCATATAGTGACATGTAAATATAAATAATATTCAACAAATGAAAGCATTTCACTCCTATTATCATTTGTGCACTTACAGTTCTAGTTTTTCGTTTCCATATAGCTGTTTATAAGTCATTGTTGTCTTCTTTCTCTGAATTACAAAAACGCGAAAACAATATCCCAAACGATCGGGAAATTTGTTTTCAAAGTCCAATATGGATAGTTTTCTGTAATATCGTAGCGGGGTTGATAGATAGGGTTGCTCGTATCATGAAGCCAAACATTCATAATCTAGATAGTGTTATCTTTTAAATGAAAGTTCGTATGGGATTAAACAACACGCGGTTGTTTATAAACAAGAAATGATTTAGATGGAAATTAAATTGGAAAGTTGTCACGCAAGAAATAACTATATGTAAGATTCCTAATAACTTAGCATCAAATGTGGTATAACAACTGCCTAAAATACACAAAACACTTTTCGATGTTTCGACCTGAGGGTCTTCGTCAGGAGAATAAGTATCATACTAACTCCCCTGAGTCCTGGCGAAGGCTCTCAGGTCGAAACATCGAGAAGTGTTTTGTCTATTTTAGACAGTTGTTTTATTGAGCACAGAGAAAAGACCCTGGGTACGAGGTTGATACCACATTTGATTCATGCTAAGTTATTTGAAGACGCTGCCACGCTGCTCCCTGGTTATATAAGATTCCTGATGTTGATTATTCTGTTTATTACCTTAATAGGCCGTTTCAAAGCGCTCAAGTAACATGCTGGGCGCATGACCGTTGCACCATACATCAGAAATCTCCTTAGGCCTGTTTTAAACGTCTCGTTTACTTTGAGCAATGCGGTAAAAACAAAAGATAATCTGCAAAATGTCGCATTCCCTTTTGTTTTAAAGTTCATAATTGAGAACGCAGTCCATAATTAAGAACGTATACGACGATATAAACATTGTTTCCAGCTTAAAAGCAGTTAATTATAAATGTAAAAAACATGTTTTTCAATATTCAATTGTTGTTTTTAATTTCACACATGGCTATGAGTGGTATCAGGCGATACCACGAAATGCATTATTAACTTTGAAACCGCAAACCGTCGTGTAATGCGACTTGTAATTGTAACTTCTTATCGTCGATTACAAGTTTCATTGTTTTTCATCGCGAAACATTGTTACTCGTGTTGTATCAGTTCAACATTCACGAGAATTTCACGGCTTCGCTCTTCGCTTGAGGTTTTTGTCAAGCATAGCAGTGAGAAATGAACGTGTACTACAATTTGTACTCCTAAAAAATAACATGGACGCCAAAATAATATTATATTTCACGATAAATTATCTTGGTTTGTGTCTGAAGTACTTAAAGAAGAAAGGCGGAAAGTCTTAATTGTGTTTTTTTTCTTTTTGGGGTCGTCCAAACACAAACTATGGCAGCTTGTGGTTAAAATAAACTGGCTGGGCATGAGAAAGAATTGAGAATTAATTTCGATTTTGTTTTTAAACGCAGGAGTCCGATAAATTGGATTCGCCGAGTGAAGAAGGTATTTTGTCTATCTGAATAAAATAATAATTATTGTGCATGGAAGTCTGAAAGAAGACATGAATACCGAATAGAATGAAATAGATCAATTATTGTATTAATGACTTATAGTTATTGATAAGTAAAAACAAGTTTGTTGTATATTTAGACAATTAGTCGTTTGTGGAAAAGTAGTTAATTAGGATTTTAGTTAATCGCAATAGGAGATTTTGGTACTTAAAATTTACTGGATAGTTTAAAAATTGTGAACTTGTTTGACACAACCGGTCCCACATAGCCTTACATATCAACTATTGTTATTGCAGCCCCTCCAGTTCCCCCAAAGATCCCCGAGTTGCTTTCGCCTGATGATACAATTACGAGATCTCAAAAACGAAAGAAAAGACGCGGTTCAAAATCCTCTCAGGAAAATGCAAAGATTTTATCCAATAACGAGGGTACGGTTAAGTGTGAAGTATTTATTATTTATAGAAAATATTCTCGAATTTTTACTACCAAAACGGTTGGAAACCCCCCACCTTACAAAATGATCAAATGTTACTTTATCGATTTTAAGTCTTTCTTTATATACATAATTAATTAAATGAAGTTCGTTCCTTGTTTAAACATGCAGGTCCCGCGGATGAAACGGACGGTGTAAAAAGTTCAGAAATACGGTATAAACATAAGTCAGACCAAGAGCCAGACCAGGGTGTGGTCAGGTCGCCAAAACGCCAGCATCGCTCAAGACAAATGGACATGGAGGGCAGACAACCTCTTATGATCAACGTGGTATGTTGACCATTTACATACTAGGCCCAAATTATCGGATTTACCATATTACCCCAGATTACCGTTTTGTTGGCATAGAAAGTCTGTGTGAGATTTTTAATGACAGAGACCTAGAAAATAGGACAATTCTGTGGAACAAAATAGCTTTTTTTACCTTTTTTTACTACTTTTTAAAATCAAATAAGATGTCATAAATAGTGTAGGCGAAGACTTCATGCAGTTGACAACACACAGTTAATCGTGTTTCTTCTGTGTTTGTTGTTCTGTCAATCCTGCAACGTCTTTTAAAACTCAAATTTCTAAATTTGCCTGGCCGGCATCATACAGTTGCGAATGCCCCCTGGAATCATGCTAGTTTTATGAATCAGGCTGGTTACCTCAACTGAAGGGGTATATTCAAAACCTCGGTCTGATATTTCACAGTACAAACCGAACAAGCGATGTCAATAATCAGTTTATTATATGGCTGAACTGCATGAGACATCCGGGATACTGGTCCGGTTACGGAATATACGGACCACGGTCCGGACCGCGCGTCAACCAATCAGAATAGAGGCTTTTGCCATATAATGAATGTTATAGCATTATAATGCGGCGGAAGGTGACATGAGGTATAAATACCGTTGACCTAAACCAGAGTCTTGGAATCTCCCGTTGTCTATTCTTAGGTTGATTACGATTCAGCCGAAGGATTATCTACAAAGAAGGAGAAGTCTTTGAACAACGATTATAACGAGGTGTGAATATCCTGCTGTTAATCTGTCTTTGTCTGTTGGATGATGTATTTACCATTGTTCCTGGGTGTCTGTTTATAATCTCATAGTTTTGATAGTTTGCAGAACAATGTATTTGTTTTGGGGAAGAATGATTGTTCATCATTTGCAAGACAATGTCTCCTCAATCTCTAATGAGATATTTCAAGCGTTCTAGCGTTCGTAGGCTAAGCTCTCTCCCACCACAAGCATCGCCACCCCTCTCCCAATACCCCCTCCTAATGCCCCCCCCCCCTAATCTACTATAGTGAATTTGCTGAAGGGCTGTTTTACGTTTTAGCCAAATGAATTGAAGGATTTGGATTTATCTACGTTGAAGACTTCAGGAGTTCTTTCATGTGTAAGTCTGTCTTTGTATCATAGCCAGAAATTATCATTCGTAGGCAAATAAGATCTGCACGTCTTGCATATTATATGACAAATTTAGACGTCTATATTTGAAAGTGTTTTTTTTTAGTTGACCTTACACAGAGCGCCCCTTCCTCGTCGTAGAAGGCCACCATCGTTTCGCAAAAGGTAGAACTAAAACATTTAAAAAAAAAAAAATTAAATGCGACTCAATTATCACATTGTTTTAAACATTGTTAACCTTCGATTGGTTTTTAGTAAACCGGTTAAGATCGACATGAGAACGGCAGATCCCGAAGTCAAGTCTGATTTGAAGGTAAATTTGAAACCAGCTTTGTGGCGTTGAAATTCATTCCATTAATTTTCTTAACATGTTTTTAATATCTGATTTCAACTTTCGAATACAGCAATTACCAAGAAAACCACCCAGTCCTCCTCCGAGACCCAATTTATCCCCAAGTAACTCGATTTCACCCGCCATGGCATCGAAACTCGAGGTACGTAGATCAGTCTGGGTCATCATGTTTGCTTTTTGCATTTTAGGATATATGATCAGGTTGCAATGATTTTGTGTTGTTTTTTAAGCGTCGAAAACAGGTTCGTGGGATGCCAGAATTGCCACCGAAGAGTGGTATTGAAAGGGATATTGAGGTATTTTTGAAGTAGGAAGTATTTGTTAAATTTTATTGTTCCTCCTTGTCCGGGGAATACACTTTAATCAGTCTTGCATGCCACTTTAAGTATTGTCTTAATCTAATCTAAACTAATCTTAATCTGGAATAGCTTGACAGTGAAGGTGGTAGTTGTCCATCAGACTCACCCACTGGAGACTCTCCCGTCTCAAGCATCAACTTGAAAAGAAGTGTAAGTATCCAGGCTTTCCTACAATACCACGTGCATTCTGATGTGAAGCAAGTGTGCTCTAATGTAACTGGAACGTTGATGATAAAGATGCCTAAAGCAACAATAATTTTCATCTGAAATACTTGACCCCCGTTATCACACTGTATATCAAACTAACTCATTTCGTTGCAGAAATTTTGAGACTATTTTAAAAAGGTATTTTATGTGGCGTTATTCTCTTGTTAAGTTCTTATCTTTATTTAAACAGGAATGCTTACCAATTGTCCCGCCTCTGGAGTTGTATAAACTTAGCGAGCGTACTGAAGGTAGGATATGAAAAAGCCTTTCCACCCAACAAGTTGTCATAAATGTTCACCTCTGATCATAAAACTGGTCAGCTCTTCATAATGAATTCCATTTTTTTATACTCAGACGATCCAATGGTTTCGCCTCGTGAAAGATACGATGGGTGAGAGACTTATACTTTTCCACTTTATTCAAATTCTTGAAACCAAATCTATAAAGCATTGTTATGTGAAATTTTATCTGATTTCTAGTGGTTGTGCTTTCGACGACGCCATGGTTTCTCCTCGCTCAAGAAGAGGCATTTTGGATATTCGTGGGTAAGTTTTCATTAATGGAGGTGATTTGAACCGGATTAACGGCAGTAATACCTTCTGTGGCCCAATTTGGTCATTTGCATTTGGCTACTGCTTTTAACATTATCCTCTTCATGAATGAGGGTGTCAGGGATCCACCCCTGCCTGAAGTAATCACCCACCGCCTCCTTCACGATCAAGTTGCATTCAATCATCTTGATAATTTCCTGTGCAGATTTTCTTCCGAGTGTCCGCCTTCTCCTCCTGCAAAACAAGAAAATCACTTTTGGCTGGACAAGAAGTGAGTTTAAATGATTTCACTAATACGCAATGGCCTTCACGAGGCTGATCGATAACGCTTATTTTTTGTCTTTCCAGGCCAAGTACCTCGCCCAAGGGAGAGTCCTCACTGAAGGAACTATACAAGCGCGCCAAATGTAAGGGTTAAAGTCTTTTCAAGCAAATGGACCACCTTCGAAACACCGCTGTTCCTTGGGTTTGTTCATATACCGCTACTTACAATTCTCTTTGTGTATTTCTTTTTCAGCATTTAAGAAGAAAATTAGAGATTTTGAAGAAAAATTCGAAGACGAAAATGGATACAAGGTTTGGACACAATACTTCTGTGCGACCTCGACTTCAAATTTATTTTCATTCACTGAAATTCGTGTTTAAATATCGTACCTCTTTAGCCAACTCAAGCGCAGGACAAAGCTCCGATTAAGAAATATTTATCTGAACTAAACAGAACGCAACGGTTAATTCAAGGTATTTTGTCTGGACTACTGTCTTTTGCGAATAGCTATGTTGTCGCTGTGTTGACTGATGTTTACATGTACGGAATTCAGCTAAAAACAACCAATCTCCGCAGTGTTTAAGGACATAGTTGAAACACTCGTTTGACTTTTCATTATTGTGTTAATTTTGATAATCACACCCCCCGTTTTTTTGTTTTTTACAGAAATGAAAGAGAAAAGAATACAAGGTTAGATCGTGTTGTGCACATGCGCATTTGCATTCGTGGGTTTCTTTATTCTTTTAATAAAAAATAAATAAATTTAAATGTAGGAGAGCGAACACCAGTAGAAGTCACAACTCAAAGTCCTCCAGCTTCGAAAGGTAATCATATCATCTGTATATATACATGAACTCGTTCAACAACTGAGCTTAATAATGCACTGGAGGCGCAAAGCCGCTGATCTCGTTCATGTTAGGGTTTCTTTGTGGCCGTTCAACTGTTCAGAGCCAGAGAAATTATATGCATGGATTATCATACTCGCGATTACCACTTTTCGATCCCCCTTCGTTTAAAATGTTTTGTAACGGGTGAAATAACTAAATGCATGCCTGAATGATAGCTACGCTTTGCAGGAAACATATTAGACGCATTTTGTTGTTATCTAAATAGACGCAGAACCGCTCCTAACCACAATTCCTGGCACCGTGGAGCAATCTTTGGAGATATCTCTAAGAAAACTGAAAGAGAAGCGGGAGGCGAATAGCCGGCCAGAAAACGTCGATGTAAGTCTGGCATCTTGCAACAGCGCTTTAGTGGAGAGCATAATGGTTGCATTTAGTCACATTTAGAGATCAACAACCCCAACCAAGTACCCCCGCGTGCACGCTGCAGCCACTGATCTCCGTGTTGTAACCGAGTCTTTTTAGTTCTGCTGCGAGATGACTTACATGTTGTGAATTCTTGTATTTTTTAGGACATGAGTCGAGATCAACTTCAAGATGAAAAACTCGCCGTCCAGAAGGCTCTACTACAACATGAAAATACATACGGAAGACCTGTAAGGGAAAATTATGTTAAGCTCTTTGATTTTAATTAGTGTTTACTATAGTTCTGTTAGATAATGTTACTCAAAGGTTCCTTGAAAGACTACTTCGTTCCTTTCTCTACTATTTTTTTATTACCGCAATCCACATTTTTCGTTATTAACTGCCGGGTCCATATCTGTAGTTTGATAGTTTTTCAAGCTTACAACTGCGGCTTCAAGTCTCAAAGACTGATCTATACTGTGTCCTATTTCTCATTTCAGACGACGAAACGAGATAAGGATATCATGAAACCACTCTATGATCGTTACAGAACCATCAAACGAAAGATTACAAATTATAGTCTGGTAAGTGAATCTCACCGTATTGTGGTTTGTTTGTGTCGTGTCCACACTTTGTGGTTCTGTTTGAGTGTCAATTCGATCTTTGGTTGTTTATAGAAAGAATCATCGGACTCACCGCTAGATTTAAAATCGAAAAGTATGACCGACAAAAGGTAAGAGAAATTGCAAATTCATCCATTTTATGTAATTTTACACCTATCTCAATCAGGAATTGATCCAGCGCGGTTTTCTGAAATGGGGTATACTAATTCTCTAACATAATTCTCCCTAATTTGCACCCTTCACTCACCCCATTGACCTAGACTAGGGGTGCACCCCACAACCTCCTCCCATGCATGCAGTTAATCAACCCCAGATCTCATTTATATTTAAATAATTTTACAGGAAAACCTCTCCTGAACGACCTACGGAGCTCGATGTGACCACAGTATCGCAAGGTATCTTTCGAATTGCTAAAAAGTGTAAAATGCTAATAGGTATAATCTTGTTATTATCAAATTTTATTCTGAAACATTTTCAGTTGATACGCTTGGTAGCACAGCATCAGAGACCGTGTCCCGATTGGCAAAATCACTGCCGGCAAGAACGAGCAAGGTTTGTGATCAAAACACAATAAAATTCTGGTATTTCTTTACCGTAGTCATTCGACAGTTGTATTCAACGGAACTTTTTGTGTATTTCAAGAGTCGTAAATGAGTTTTTACCTCGTTGTTACCGTTTCATAAGCTTGACCCTATGCACTTCACTATTCTTTTAAGAATCTTTTCGAAAACGATATGTCACCAGTTTCCCCCTTGTCAATATCCGTTGACGAGTCAGGGAACAGTCCGATCGACGATGACCCGGGGGGTGCGGACGACGTTACGTCTGGTGGGGAACATGCTCTTTTGACTGCTAAAGATTCCGATGCGATATTACACCAAGCTTCAATGTAAGGTTTCCTAAATCACATCATTCCTTGCCTTATTTCTCTTCCGGATATAGTGTCTGACTTCACTTGACACGTGTTCCGTTTCAGAGATGAACTACTAGAACAGCAAGCATCAGCTATAAGACGGAAAAAGAAACTAAGAAAAAGGCTTAAATCTTTTGAAGACAACTTCGCTAAGAAAACTGGCAGGTGAGTGTTTAACTGCGCAGATATTCTGCCAACTACAGGCCGTCATGTATGGCAAACTATAGAGGCTCGTGTGTTTGAAGAACATGCATCTGGGCCTGGCTGTAGCTATCAAGCCCGTTTAGCTTAAACGGTGTATAAGTCAAAATTTAAGTAACACTCTAACATCTCTTGAATGAGTCAACTTGAATATTATTCACTGAGTATGTAGTTGTAATTGTTTTTCGAACTGCAGTTAATTTTCTAACTTCATTTTTGGTTGTCTCGTAGAAAAGTTCAAAGAGAAGACAGAGGCTCTCACGAGGGAGACTATGAAGAATACAAGGTAATGCCATCATGAATATTTCGTTCGTTTCATCATAACACATTACATTACATACACACTGTCGACACAAAAAACAATAGTTGTTTTGAAATTTGCACGTTTCATTCTTTGTTGTCAAACTGAAAATTTTTGACCTCTTCCAGAAAATCAAAGCACGTCTTCGACTTCTGGATGCACTTATTACAAAACAGCAGGGAAACAGTACCATATAATCGCACGGAGAAAAACCTTATACAGAAAGTTTTGAAGTTAGCACATGTGTAATAAATATTGTATAAATATATATAGTTTACCATAGTTTATATAATACTAAGTTCAGCCTCTTGGCATGGCACTGCTGCATGGTTCATTTTTACCCGATTGGGAATAAATGGTTAATTTTACAAATGATTTTCAAAGTTCATATTCACCTTGAGGAATCTGCATCATCCGTAAATCCCTATTTATCTGGTATTTCATTTTGATCTAGCCGCATTAAACCATCGTATTTTATCAAATTTCATCCAAACATATTGTTCAAACTTCAATAAATCTTTGGACTTCACCTATCGTATCCAATGTTTGGGTTTGATCCAAATGAAATCGTATAAAATTTTCAATGGAGTCAACCCATGAATCAATCAAATAATTCAAACATCTTGAAGTCTCAGAACTTGATGAAATTTCATTCCGACCCAGCCAGATCTGAAAAACGTCATAACCCCAGACCCAGCCCTCATCTTTTTCTAGAGCTTGATGAAACTTTAACCATATTGCCTATGAATGTTCAATCAATACCCAAAAAATTCTCAGAATTAAAACCAGTCACAGAACAGCAAAATTCCTTGAGAAATATTTACTTCACTTAATTTTACAATTTGTTACATAAATTCTGTTACACATCTGTTATAAATTAATTTCTAAATAACTCTAATATATATAACATTTTATTTACAAGGGGTTTTGACACTTTTGGTTATATGCATGAATAAACCAAGTTAGCTAACGCATAATTGTGCCCGTTTTTCGTTTGAAATAAGTCGTAATCTTGTACGAGTTTAAAAGCTTGAGTTAATAAAAAGAAAATTTGTTCAGGGCACTGCAATATTGTATTAACTTTTGAATCCAAAAAAGAAAAGAAAAATTCTTTTGGATTTGGTAAAACAAGGCATATAAAATACTGCGTAGCTGATTAGGTCTATGATGTCATAATTTAGTTAAATATTACGTTTTATTTCGTGGTTAGTGTAAAGTCATAACTTATTTTACTTAGTGAGTTTGGTGCGATTTGATATTGCGTGTACAAAGTACAAACGAACGTTTAGCTGCTAAAGTTATCTCTATACCATAACATGGTTTAATACCTGCCTACTATCTATTTGCCATGATCTATTGCTTGATTTAATGCCTATTGCCTAAATTGGTCCTGTTTTCAACTATGCGTTCTCTTAGAGAACCGACTACTTTTGCGTGTAAATTGAATTGCCCCTCTTTTGCGGCAAATTATTCTAATAAAAATATATCTCTGCTGAAACTATTCATTCTTCTAATCATTGCTTCTAATCGACTATAAGCTCTGCTCTTGCGTGAAGATACTGGAACGAGTATACAATTCGCGGGACAGTGCGCGAAAATTTAAAGCCAAATTAAAATTTTCTGTCAATGTCTGAAGTCTGGACCTCAAATACGTCTTTAAAATCTCTTTATTTTTACCGAGTTTTGCAACGATCGCGTGATTTCTTTTGGGTTATTTGATAACGGTATCTTGATCATTCTATCCGAGTCCATTTGAATCGTTGTGGATCCACAGAAACGTGAATAACGACGTTGCAAATCTTGAACAACTTCGTCGATGCCCAAACTCATGTTCCGAACCTGTTCAGGGCTCACTGCTGGTTGGAGGACTTGTTGCTCGCTTTTCGAGATGAAATCAACGTCAAACAGGACTCACGGGGTTTTGCGGTTCTGTTGGAAAGGTAATCGAATGGAATTATACAACGCCAGGTATGTTGAGTCGAGATAAATCTACGAGTCACTATTGTCTACTTTATATGTACATTAACTATGTAGCAGTGAACTATTTACTATTGAGAAAAATTCATACGATCGTAATTAGTTTGAAGCTTTGGAGGTCTCCAAACACCTGCCTGATAGTGAATTTACGTTATAGCTGAAAAACTTGGCTTTAATTTTGTGTTAGTGGGTAGCTTTCCATATTTTTAAGCTGACTGAATATAAACATAGAACAGAATCTCATCACTGTTCTAGACTTTTCTGTTTACCCCCAGAGAGCTTTTGAAAAATAGCATTTTTTAAATGCCCTTTTTGTGATGTGTAAGCACAATTTGTTTCTTAACTACCAAGTATATTCCTGAAACATTTATAAATAAACAGAATACTTGGCACAAGTATTCTATTAATAGTATAGAATATTATGCTTTTTAAGTAAAAATAGATTGATTTCAAAGGGAAAATGTAGCTCTTCTCATGAAAAATTTACATTTTTGGGCAATAGGGCAAGTGAATGTGCATCTCAAGCCAAACACAATAGCCTATGATGTTCAGATATGCTGTCATAACAAGAAAATGAATTTCCAATATAATCTTGAATTATGAAAAGTAGCTCTACAGAACTTTAAAGTATTGAAGTATATACATTTATGCCATTCAAGTACATTAATTATAACACATTACCTGGTTGTTTTACTGATCGTTTACTTCTTACATGAAGGATAACCAGCACTTGCACTATTCCCACGACACAACCAAGTATGAACAGACCAACAAATGTTAGAACAGCACCTTTCATTGATAACGTTACATCATCACTGTCGCCTTCCTCAGGCTCTTGCTCATCATCTAGGATACCAAATATATGAGTAAAAATGGAATATAAGCAAGAATATACAAAAAAACTATACTGCATAGCCATATTACTTCTAAACTAGCTGTCAATTTTTTTAGCTATATGTACCTAGTGCATCCATTACAGACTCAGTTATCTCAGAATTGGTTGTCTCAGATATTGATGGGACAGTTGTAGGCCATGTTGTGTGTTGGATTCTGTCCCTTTTAGTTGCTTTTGTTGTGTTCACTATTTCTCTCCTTGAACTTCCTTTTGTTGTTTCTTGCGTTGTCTCTTTCGTTGGTTCTTCGACAGTGGTTGTCCTCTCTGTCGTAGCTTCTCTTTCGGTCGTAGGGTTTCGTTTCCTTCCACTTATTACTAATGAAAACAGTAAAGTTCAATGTCATCACCAAAATGATATAAAGCCATACCACAATCATTAACACAGTAACACTACATATCTTTACCACCATCTATGTCTGCTGTCACCATCTATATGCCAAGGCCCTTTCCTAGTTCCCACTGCCATTGTTTAACCTCCCTGAAGCACACAACCATAACTGTCATATTGATTTTATGACATGCAAATATTCTTACTTTTTGAACACTCCATCTTATCGGGTCCTTGGCAAGGAAAGCCGCCATTCTGTGGCGCTGGATTGCTACAATTTCTCTCGCATAACCCTGTCTCTTCGTTCACTCTCCACAAAGACCAACCTCCGTTTAACACTGTAAGAAGAAGAAAAGTAGCTTTATGTTATCAATGTAAATTTTATGGGAGAAAATTACTATTTTCTCTAGTCGTAATACAAAAACATATAATAAAATTTGACATTTTGCAAGGCAACTTTTTGCAGCTCACTTTTGTACTTTGTTGTTCGTCTTTTTCATGCATAACTCACCATCGACGCTGCAGTTTTCCTGTTCGGTACAAACATAAATGGCAAACTTCATGTTTTGGCTTTGACATTTCCCTCCGACTTTTCTGTTGATATCTCCTTCCGTTCCTCCCGAGGTTCCTGTAAAAACAACAACAAGAATTGGTTTGACAACTGCACGACACAAAAAGCACCAAAATTTCCTCAAAGGAGTTCACTGATTCTCAGAATACTTTTCCACAAAACTGGTGTTTAATTACTTACCAATGAAGTAGTACATTTTTCCCGCCGGATACGGGTCATTGAAATCACTGATAGGGTTACTCATAAACACAATTTGACGTTCCTCCGTGTCTTTTGTGCTCTTTCCCGAAGGATCGTTGCAATATAGCAACCTTTTCCCCTTCCTTGCATCACAATTTTCATACTCCTCTTTCGTTTCGACTTTGTACAAAGCAAAGTATAGTTTTGATTGATGAAGTTGATACGTTGTTTTGATGCCTTGCGTGTAGAACTTCGGACACCATATTCGTATTTCGTCGTCTATATTCACCTTACGTGCTTCGCCTTTGAGATTGTTGAATCTAAAGAGAGATTATCGAAACATGATTTTGCATGCAAGTTTGACCAGCTATTTCCTATGATGTGTTAAAGGCTGATTGTGGATTATTAGAGTATATTATTCAGAACAGGCCTATTCCAGTATCTCGATAGGTGGGGGAGGGGTCGGGCGTTGTCCTCGCCCCTCCCCCGGTGTTTACAATGGAAGAAACGTAACGAAATGTATACAAAACCATATGCCGTATTTTGCCACAGGAAGAGAGCTAAACTGGACGTTTTAAAAAACTATTCTAAAATCATTCAATATCTTATTGCAATAGATGATGATTCTAGCTGTAGCTATAAATTTAGGTCTAATCGAGAGGAATTTCGCAATTTAAGCCAACAGTTCGTAATGACGTCTTGGAAATAAGTAGGTCTGCAAAGCTGAGGTGAGCGTCTGTAGTCATACAATCATCAGTAATCACTGAGGAGGAAATTATGCAGACATATAGTGACGTTCTCAAGCGTTTTTAATTGTGTTTTCATGCAAAGATGACTGCAAGCAATATCAACTTATGAGTTATGACAGATGTTGGAAGCGAGTCAATTTATTAGAAATATTTTCTTTTTTACCCGTGTGAATATGGCGTATTCACCCGTGTTATTTCACTGTCGAGAAAATCTTCAATTGGACTAACTCTATTTATATCCCTGTTAGTTTCACACAATGAGTCTGCGAGGCGCCATCATGTGTTAATCCAATTCGCAGCTACATGAGAAAACTCAGCATGTACCTAAATGCTGTTTAGAAACTTGAAAATTCAGCAAATACACTTGAAATGACCCTGTCAACGTATTTATTTTTAACGAAACTACTTTTAGAACTGCATGCAATATCGCTGAGAACACTGCCATGTGGTACTGTACAAAGGTTCTTTCAACTTACAAAACAATGTATTCTCAAAACGTTTGTCAAAGGCCTTGAAATTATCCCAAATTCATATGAGTATTAGTATGTATGACTGCGTAGAGGACTGGAGGTGATCAAAGATGATTTTACTTATATAAAAGGTAATGATGATCCCACAGGGTGATCCCACGGGACGCAAAGTGGTTTCAAAAACGTTTGTATAAGAGCCTTAAATTAACGCGGTGATTATAGAAATAAGGATAAAGGCTTAGAAAGATATATAGAAAGCGAATGGCTAATACTGCTGATCAGCCCCACGTTGTCTGGAGTGTCAAATATCTTTATTATCCCAATAAACAAAGCATCCTGGTAGAACGATACCGCCTTCTCTGAAGAGGTACTTGAACTGTTGAGATATCAGTGTGGGAATGTTACTGGTGGACATACATTATTCATTCAGATGGATTGTTTACTCCTAGCTATTGGACAAAGGCTCTACAGCTGTTGTGAGAATCAGGGCTAATCTGAGGCATTCTAATATATAGCGAAAAATCGCATTAACCCATTAGCGGTTAATGCACCTAGCTTAGTGCAGGCTCGTTAACACTTGCAATTTTCCTACGATTTTAGACTTGCGATGTTCGTCTTTAAGTGGATGAAAACGAGTGATCATTGAAATAATCGAATTACTCGTTCACATCTACCAAAAGTAGAAGATCTTAGCAAAAATTGCAGATGTTCACGGACCTTCAGGATTCTTGTTAAACTAAGATATGGCAACTTGCCCAGGTGGTCCTCCTATATAGCTATATAGTGGGGCTAAAGTCAGCATTTTAATCCGTGTAATAAAGGCTTTAGATTTTGTTCGTAAATTGGAGTGGGGCCAAATGTGTGTTAAAAGTAAAAAAAAACTTTCGTAACCAATTTATAAAAGGAATCGCTAAAAACTTGAACAGTTTTAAATGTAAACATTCTGAAGGTCGATGAATGACATTTTGTTATGCATGCTAAGGCAAGCTGAAGTCTGTGTGTGTGGCGATCGCTTGAGCTTCACCGACGTAATGTAGTGTTGATGTATCTCTTCAGTAAGTAGAGAACAGCTAAGAGACGGATTTAATAGGAACACACACACACATAGAAAGTTTTATTCGGGATATAAACATCGTCAGAAATGACCTGTTCACGACTAGATGAAAAACAACAAGGCTTCAAAGTATAATGAATCTATCCAAGGCAAAATGTAAAGAATTTTCTTAACTATAAATGCATATCCCCAATTTGATTGAAAGAATTTAATTAAAAGAAAAAAACAAAGAGTAATGGCCGCATTAGCCTATAATTTTAGTTCATGGGGTCACGAAAGGTCTTCATGTACATATTATATTAACTATAACAGATATTTTTAGTCGGTGATCTTAGCTAATTTATGTCATTTTTCCACTCAAAACCTTGCAATATTTTGCTCAAAATGATGTACAATAGTAAAACGTGTTCTTTCATTTGAAATTTCGTATTTTCATCGACTCGTTTTTCCACAATGTTTTATATAGTATAACAAATGTTCGTTCATTAAGTTAATAATAGGAGTGATCTAATACCCTTATAGCTATAGCTTCATGAAAAACAACATTAATATTTAAAAGTTTGTATATTTAGCTATAACGCCATGCAGCTATGAGTGTTTGCGAAGACCTGTTTGAAGTATATTTCTATGTTAACTGATGATCTAATTTCCGTGCTATTCAGCAATTCATGTCGCCAAATGGTGTTTACAATGTTAGGTGTTTGATAAAATATTTAATACCATAGTTAACTTAACACTATAATAACTAATAATCATTCGTACAACTCATTTAATGATGTATAAAGTATAAACATCGTCATCACATATATATGTAATCATCACATATATAATCATTGCCACTTTTAGGATATTCCGGTCCAATTATTTTACGATTCGCCTCAAAACTGTCTTTGAAAACTAAAACCCTCGCGTCGTCCGGATAATGAGCCGTGGATTATTTCCTGCTATTGTAGAACCATAAGCTTTTTATTCATGCATTAGCATCATAAAATGGCGCAATTAATCTGAGTCAAAGAATAAGTAGGAGGGATGAGGGATCTTTGAGACGCTTTAAACTACTGAAAAGCCCGCGCGGAGTTCCTTGTTCCTCGTGCATGCCCTTGAATAATCATGCACTATTAATATTTGGTCATACCTGTTGATATTAAAGCTTACACATAATATATTAACTTCTATATGAAAAACAGTAGCGAACTGATAAACTAGCTGTGTTCCAGAGTGTATGAACAAAATTAGTCGATCTGGTTTTCTCTTTCTTTTTTATGTAACCATGGCAACAGTTAAAACTGATAAATAATATTATATTTTGCCTTGGAAGAAATTGAAAATGTTTTTATGTTTTAACCTCCGAGAGAAGTAATATATAATAGGAACCTAAAGAATTTCCTCACAGGAATTAAGGCACAATATCATATAAAGAAGTATATAGAGAATCTTGGCACTATATAGAATATAAAAAACGAAGATGATTAGATGAATCCTTAATTTGTTTGCATGACCTTTTTGTAGAGTTCCCATGCATTATACCTTCGATTATAACTGATCAAAGAAGCCTTTTTTAGAGGAGACCTCTTATAAAGAAGCAGACATGGCAAACCTGTTGCGATCTCACCGATCTGTCTCAGTTTCTCGTATAGAAGTTGTTGGACACTTGACATTATATTGGAAAGCGTGTTTAGCATGCCATCATCTGGATATGTTGTTGTAGATTTTATACATGTTATAAATCTTTTCATTAGGTTAAATATATAATCAAATTACTTAATTAAAATGTTGTCGGTCGCGATCTTTACGCGGTCTTAATTTTTTAGTTCCTGGGTCATCATGCATTCAGCTATATTATATTACTTTGATTCCAGACTCGTTTTTTGAAGATTGAGGATTAGGCACGAGTGAAGATTGGGGTAATGTTGTTTGCAATAAAATGCAACTTAGCAACTATTAAAAATTTCCTGTTTCGGAATAATATAGCGTTTGGTTTCTAAAAGAGCCTTTCATTCGTTAAAACATTGAGTTTTCAATGCAGTGCATGTTATCAGTAAGTTTTTGGCACTGAGACAACATGCACTTGCGGCCGGAATTGATTTAAATCCGCGGTACAAGATTTTTACTCCTACCATGATTGTTTTTTATAATGCATTGTATTTTGAATATACTATCTTTGGTTAATCACATCAGAAAAACTAATGTTTAGTTTGACAGTATATATGTAAAACAACACGTCAACAGGCTTTAATTCGCCAATTTTATATTGAAAAGTATGGCATATAGCATTGTATCTGGTTTGCAATTTTAATATGATTTGTATTCTTGCTAAATACTGCAGGAAATTCTACCCGACAAACTGGGTGGAAACGTCCTGTTTCTACACGCACTGACATTGAATATCATTGAATATCATTGTTGATCGTGTTATTGAAAGATTTCTATTGTGCGAGAGGTTTCCTGCGTGCGAAAGGGGAACTTTTCCAACAATGGTCATGCACATTGTAAAACGATGAGAAAAAAAAGGGTAGAATATAATCTTTTAAATTTATGTACATGGATCGTGGGAACGTTAAGCGTATTGCCTTGACTTGGTAAACCGATGTATTTAAAAAAATATTTTAAGTACTTAGAGTGTCAAACGCCAGACACGACTACTGGCTACAGCTCTGAGGGAAAGAATGTGATGACTATCAAAACGTATTAGAAGTACATGATATCACCCCAAAGATTCATATCTATCCCTGTGGGAATATATAGCGATGACCATTTTTTTTAATCTATTTAATGCAACGCGTTGCCCCAAATGGACAACTTGTTGTATGTATATATATGCTTGTATCGTTTACAACCGATTTTTGCCTATTTTTGATCGTTGTTTTGCCGATATACGAAAATAAATGTACATGTATATCGACTACAATGGCATGCCGACTTTTTAACAAGAAAATGGCCTTTTTATAGTTTTAATGCTAAGTAAATAATGATGCGTGTATGAAAGCACTTCAGCTATGACACTTGAGGTCAGTTTATATCTATCCCGATACAGAACTAAACCACTTCGACCTTATTCTCTGAGCAAAGTTCAAGGTGCTGTGCATGACATCTTGAAAATAGATTTCAACTCGATGTTTTTTACAGCTCAATGCTTATATGACTGTCGGCACTTTGAGTTGCAAAATTAACACGGCAATAAAGGCCCCTATTTGGTGCAATGATTGAAGTAATGACTGTTTGAGTATATCGACTCATTGTAAAGTCATTAAAACATACAGTCGGTCATTGACGGGTTGGATATTTAATATTTTTGTATTCACCGTGTTGAAAGAATACGATTCAAATACACTCAATTCGCAATAGCTTGATAATAACGACATACTACAGGTTTGAAAAAGTTAAGCTTATGATAACATTGCTAGGTCGCGGGGTCACGTAAATTGAAAAATGAAATTTTCCTAACTTTCCAGAACATAAAGATTCTTGTTTACTTGAATAGTCTATGGCTCTAAGTCCCTATACGTTATATAGTTTTAAAACGTTAACGTTTCTATATACGAATTCCACGCATAGTTCAAACGTATATAGCGCTATGCATGCATGTCTGCAAGTATATAACTATGATATATACCAGATTATTGTAAAGTCAATGTTTCTAAAAATTAAATCTACGAATCACAAAAATTCGAGTCGAAACACTGTAGACGTAGTGTGTACTAATATGCATTGGTTGCTATACTCAGAATAATTGGGCCGCATGCAGTTAGCCATTGTCTTTCAACCTGGCTTTGTATAGAGTGTAGACAAAACTTTGTTTAGTCGCGAACTTTGAGGAATGCGCTAGGCTTCTATGTTGCTGTCTCAATATAGCAAAAATTTTCTTTGTGATTCAGGATTGTTAACATAAAGATTGTTCTGCAAGCTTCATCAGTTGTAGACGAAAATTATGCAAAATAATTGCCGGCTTGATTGGGGGAAAGAAGTTGAGTTGTTTCAGCACGACCAGATGATTTTACGTACCATAGGAGCATTACACAACAGTCATATATCATAATGACATAATCATACTCTTAAAATATAAAGTTGTGAATACAAAAACACAAGCTATAAAGGCAATATCTCAAGGCTTTATATTCCTTGATATATTATGCATGTATTTTTGAAGATTTCAATATAAGTTCATACACTTTATATGTTTCATAATTCAACAAATTATATATGCATATAGCTTTGTCCGTCTATGATTGAACATGAAATATATCGCTACAAAAATCAAAGCCAAAAAGTGCTGTTTCATTCCATATTAACTGACTCATAAAGTATTTTATATATTTATAGATATTCTAGAGAATCGAATTTTAATTTTATAAATATATATTCTAGAGGATTCAAACTTGAAAGGTTCCCTTGTACATTCAAGGCAATAGATAAACCGTTTCTCATTGAATCGTATTTATAAACGTATTTTTAATATACACTTTGAGAAAACAAATACAGCTTGAAACTTTAAAACTGTGAAATGAAATAATCAAAGTTTATAACCTAGTGATTTTTAATATTTTGATATCGCGAACGATGAACAAAACAACACAGCCATTAAGCGTTATTATACGAATATTATTCATATTCAATTATACTATAGTCTATATATACATATGTGTCTAGAATAATTTTCCTTGTTATATAGTATTAATTTCTAAGTCTCGATGAATTTAGTCCCGATGAATAAGATTTCGTAAATTCCACAAGTAAAAAAGAACCGTTTTTGTGCAGGAAATAATAAATGCATGTTTCAGATTTTAAATCGACTAGTCTAAGAACCGAAACTTCTATTTAATGATAGTGAAATTTAGTTTGCTGGATTAAAACTATTCTGATAATAGCTATATTCCTGTGGCTACATCTTGGCGGATATTCGATTATCGATCGATTGATGATAAGAAGTAAATACACAACGTCGTATGTTATTTTGTACTTACATAGGATTGTCTGGCGTCCACTGAATTGATGGGAGAAAGTTGACCGCCTGCGTTGAAAGAACGATTGCCAAAAACATGATAGCAATCCGAACTTCCATTTTGAAAAAAATTATCCAGTACTATATATGATCCAGCAGTTCGTCTTGATCTGTAATAATATAGAATTTACCCGCGAGATTTACTCCGTCGATGTCTCGTGTGATTGTGATGGTTCAGTGACCTCTGTGTCTTCTCAACCCCGCCACTTCCTAAACAAGAGCGATTATAAGATCTCACAAAAGCGGAATTGGTTTACAACGAATTGGGTTTCAATATTATCCGCGGCCAATCGGCAGCACTGCACAATGAGGTTGTCATTAACGCGCGCACGCGGTACAGGAAAATAATGACACAGTGTGGATCAAGGGAACGGGTTTTAAATTGATGTGAGGTGGAGCGTTTGTATGACTCATCCAATCAAAACCAGATGTGTTTGAATGACGTAAAAAGACTGATACTGCTAAGTATCTTCTTGGTATTGGCCTCTTAATGACTTTGTTGTTCAAAATTTTGAATATGATGCATGGATTTTAGCACCTTAGCATTCCAGTGCCGTTGGCAACTGATGCAACGTGTGAACACAAATACCGTAATCTACCTTCGGACAATCATCTAAACCTCTAGTTGTTCGTTTAACGGTAAAATGTTTAGCTGTAGCTTTTGTAAGTGCAGTCACAACAAGTGTCTCCCTGAAGTACTTGCTATATATGCTAGCGGTTAGTTTGGACGTTTCGACCGAAATGATACTTCGAATTCATTCAGAGGTGCTAGCTAGCGTGCTATAGTTTTGCGGATGATATACAAAACTCGAACAAATATTTATCAAACATTTTTGGGCTGACCGTGGGTCGTCACACCCGATAGCCGGGATCCAGTCTGTTCTGCGATTCCATGGTGCAGAGCTCGTCTAAATTGAGTCCAGTTCAGAGCGACATTTTGAACAACAAATTTTGCACTTTCCGTGTGAATATTTTATATGTATTGCATAAAACAAGCTTTTTCTGTTCCTCTATTTTACCGTGTACGCATCACGTTTATTTTTAACTAAGATATAAGGAAAAGATAGCAAAGGTAGAGAGTCTTGCCGGGGAAATTCTTTCTGGATCACTCGAGTAATTCAACGCGATTAGGATGTTGTGAGAAAAGTATTTGCGAGAAATGGGTACAAAAAGACACCCAAGAATGAATGTTGAAAGCCATTAAGACTCGATTCGAGAAAACGTTTAAATAAATCAATAAAGAAACAGTCATAGTGGACCGGCCGGTCCCCAGGAGCAGGTGGAAGGTGTTTTGAAACATTTTGAAGGAATTTGAACTGTGTGGCAAAAAGTCAAGTGCATGGACGTGCAACGTTGCAATATTCCTTAACTCCTTAAGAATCATACTTTGATCCCAAAGACTTCTTAGTGTATTAGCGAGCTTAAGATTTATCAAATCCCAGACGTGACAATCGGCAGTTATAAACACACCAGCTATAGTGTTATAAATCGGATTTCACTTTGTTTTATTCTGACATGGTTTACCAACTATTTTTTATCTGTGTAGTGAAACTCTGGATAAACATCGTATAATGATATTCGTTGTGATAGTAGATAGTTATTAGCAATCATGCAATACTGAACGTTAGTTTTAAACATCTGTGAGACTGTACAAATTGTAGGTTATAGTGACAGGTTTCGGACAAGTTTCGCGGATTCACGCCGTTCCCCAAGGACCCCATTCGGGTGCGAAAACGTTTTTAACATCAGCATTCCTGCTTCGGTTGAAGCACAAAAATTCATCAATTTTTACTCCGGTTTGACGTCGGTTCAACCGTCGTGTTTCGGAGAACGGCTGGAAAGATATTTCGATGTTCAACCGTAACGAATGTCGTATCCTGTTGCCAAGTGAACAATCAGGAACTGACAAAAATCCGTTCGATTTAAAGGATGCAACTTGTTTCTGAAGTCCAAATTTGTTCAAACTATAAAATCACAGTTTGTAACGCTATATAACAATCTTATTATTTGTCATTTTTTTGTAAACTCATTAGCACGAAATTGCCAGACACATGCACTGCTTTGTTTGTTTTAGTCAATGACTATATGCTTAGCCTCACGATTCGAAAGGGGATGTTAAGGATTACGTGAACTATCTCTTCCCTTGCCCCCAGTATTCACACACCAAGTGCATGTATACATCGCGTAGTGATATACTTAAATATTTACTCTGTTCCTTTGTGATTTGAAATCCATTAAACCCTCAGCCGATTAGGGATGCTTATTAATGGAAACACAGCATACAAAAGAAGATTTTATATTTGATAGCGATTATACTGAGACGGAGTGATTATACTTTTGACAATTCTAAATCATCCTATCATGCCCTAGCCAATGCTTTCTGCCAAATTCCCGTGCAACAGTCTTGAAATGACAGTCCTGAGTATTTCCAATGTTATATAAATATAAAGTGGAACTACACTTAGTTTGATGATTGTATTGACAAAGAAGATCGATTGGTTTTTACTTCGCAACAAAGAAATCAACAGGACTTTTGCCAAAAATGTCTCCCCGAAAGCTGTACCTTATCAAGCGACGAACTTCCAAAACAACACACTACAGATCATTTCCAATCTTGACACAGTAATCCCTGGATTGGTGATATTTTCGGGAAATAAACTCGGCTAATTACACATACGTATACGCGGTTCCTCCTGCCTTGCATGTGTTGTGAAACACGACGTAAAAATGTTTATGTTTTCGTTAATGAGAAACGGAAGATTGCTGGCTGTCGTTCGGCAGGTCTAAACTGCACGAGTTCTTGTGTGAGCTATTTATATTCTACTCCTGTTGTGCTGGTATTAAATATAGCAGGTTTATGTAATACGAGTTAAAATGTCGAAGGCATTCGGGAAATTGCTTCATTGCACATTCCTTGCTCTCTGTGTGACAGTATTCCTGCCAATGATCGTTTCAAACCGATTCTATTAAGCTCCCATATGTTACGGCTTAATAATCGTTTTATATTTAAAAAAATCCTCTCAAACTGTTTGTATTTGTATAACGGGCAGAGGTGTTTAGTACGTGGGCTGTCACTTCTTTATCTGACCTGTCTTAGTGAACAGGAAGAAACCTGAAAACGAACAATATTCACGCTGAATATCTCAGTTTTAGTCTCTGTCATGTAGTTCTAAACTTTTTCCAAGACTAGCGAGAGGTTTATTAAGACAGGTACTTAAATTCTTCACCAGTAAGTGCCGTTCAAAGTTTCTTGGTGTGAAATTCATTATTTATGATGAAACTTTAAATGCTTGAAGGCATTCCTATAACCCATTTTTTTCTCATGACACCAGTCAATATCCTGGTGTTTCATGTGACATTGATCGAGCATAGTGTAAAGTCAACAGAAATCCAAAAATGCAGAATCTCCAGGATAATATATAAACACCAACATGACGTATATCGTCTGTATTGCTGTAGTGTATTCTTTGTGGTCACACGGGCCACGCCGCCTGTCGGGGTGTTTTTGTGCATTAACAGCAGTAAACCGCATGCAATTTTATGGCTCAGCGAATATGCTTTTCAATATTTGTTTGGATAGAATGTTGTTTGGATTGTCTTTCTTTGATTTTCGTTATGAGAAAATAGTTTAAAATAAGAGCCGGCCAACGGCAGGAGTCCGTTAAAGTATGTCAAATGACATTGATCTTAATAATACCTGGAACGCGAACCCTACACTGCTGAGCCTTGCCTTGGTTTTTAGGACGATTAGATGCCAGCGAAACAAGTCGGACGTTGGTCGAAAACTAGATGTTGTGCACTGGAGTGTTCCTAGATTGTTACCAACTGTAGCAGAGTGTCATAGACGTTATCAGATAAAGTCTATATATGTTATTATATATTTTCTTCATCTAAAACGTTTTATTTCCTAACTACGACAAGCTGTTTGCAAGCGTTTCTAACCGTTGTCCCTCATTGTGATTGGTCTAATGCGTTTTGAATGAGAGATTGTATAGTTTCAATCAGTATTCATATATTAAATATGTTTACAAGCTTTATCTTTTTAAACCTTATCTTATATATGTCTTGTTTTTCGTGCATGCATGTCATGTTTAGAGCAAAGATTGCGTTAGGTTCTTGATCAAGATATTCGATTGTAGCCGCGAGGTTTTTCACTGCTGATTGCAAAACAATGAACTGGTGAGCAAAAGAAACTAATGCGATGCCAACGAACGACGGTATTCACTCCACAAATACATGAAGAATAGTTCAGAAGTATTTACATTAAGCGGTAAACCTGCCTTGTTTACCTGTGTTCACACAGCAAGCGCCGTGACCTGGAACACAGGCTACATACTGTATCACCTGTGATAATGTAAATAATGGCATTAGCGTTACGATAGCGACGTTTTTGACAAGACTAACGTCAGATTTCTGAGGCAGATGCCTGGAATAAAAACTGCTTTTCTATGGCGATCGGTACTCTTACACCAATCGGCAAGTATGAACAAGAGTCCCTGGTTATAAAACTCGGCCATCAAACTGGGAACGCTAAGTTTCTCTTCACGTTTGTGTGGACAAAAAGATCGCTATCTTTAACCTGCTATCATTTTCTGTCTCTAACATAATAACTCTTAACATATAAACGAATCCACAAAGCGAGCCTTTACAAAACTAGCCTGCTAAATCCCATCTTGCATTGTTTTACGTAAGTTATATCATTCAGAATAACACTATATATAGGCACCGTTGAGTTCGTATCGCGACAATAATTTCCCGACATATTTTACACGTATATAAATTTAGATATTTACCTTAAGTTCCTATAGTTTTTAATGTGTTGCGTAGAATGTATATCTTTCCAAAAACAAACTGCAACAATTTCCAACTCGAAGCACTATATACTCGAACTCTCGCCCTAGTCCAACTGACATAAACCTATGTGGCTTAGTCAAATCTTACCCAACTTCGCCTTATTTGCTTAGAATTAAACGGACACAAGTTTAAGGATTAACACGCATTGTCTACTTCCTTTTTTAACTTGGATATATACAAAAGAAACACAAGGTTTTAATCCTTTTGCATTAGACAGAGAATACTCAGAAATTTGAGACCGCGGACAGTATTTAATTTTCTCATTTCCGATAGATCGTTTTGTTATATCATTTGCATGGGTTTGCCTGATAGTAATGATCGCCGTGGTTTTAGTCTGATGCGGTCAGTTGATGAAAGTATCCACTTGTATACTAATGATTCTGGTTAACCGTAGAACAAATTTTACTACCAACATTTTGTGTTTAAAAACTGTTTCAGCACACCTCAGAACTATTATACTCGAATATAATTGTTGAGAAATAATTGGAGAATGCCGCCATAAGCTAGCTGCTCAATATCCTTTAGTTTTTTCGTGATGCATCAAAATAGATTAGTTTTACTTCCACCTCCCATATAGACTTGATCTTAACCGTTCTTCGGAGAGGTCCATTAAGTGTAATCTCTTATTGTTCTAAGTTAAAACCCGGGGAAAACACCCAAATTCCTCTATTTGTACCTCGATTTGTACTGCACTTATGACCAGTTGTTAATCTCAGGGCGCTCTCCTTGAATTCAGCGAATTCTCCACCGAATTCAGAAAATACGTGCAGTTCTTTTAAAAACTGGCCCTCCATATAATAGGGGGTCGGGCTCCTGCAGAGATAAGTGTACCTTCGTGATCCTATACAGGAATCTTGATCCTATATGATACAAGATCCTACATACAGGAAGAGCCTTGAATGTCACCCAGGTTAAATGACACAAAAGTAAAACCTCCTATATTTTAATTCGGGTCGTGGGCAATGAAGTCACAACCAAATAGTCGTAATTAAATGTGCCACCTCGAAGTCTTGGTGTTAATTGTGATCTCCGTCCTGTTTCCTGACGCGATCGTAAATGAAGATAATTTGAGTGACAGAATTAGTTCATCATGAAAACCTGATGTTGGTAATTTGTCTTTATGGCTTTTCCTTTCAGCCATAATTTCGAAACCAACTCATTAACGGACCGGTAAACACCGTAGGCTCTTTCAGAAGCACCGTAGTTCGAAAGAGAAACGCATATTTTTGATCTCTTGATAGAGAATATAGTGTCAATCCGCAGGATATAACTATTTAATGTTAAATATGGTTTCGTTTGATCTTCGTATGGTAAACATGGACTACAAATTCTTAATCTAACTTTGCCCTCCAGGGGAGAAGCGTTTAACAATGACAGATAAAATTAATTTAGTTCCTGTAATAAGCTCGCGTCAAGATAATATTGTTCTCTTTGATCATGCAAAACAAAAGAGGTGTAATAATGATAGCCTTGATTTATGTGGGCAAGTCAAACATTGTTCGAAATTTTTTGGCCAGAACTGCGAAGAATGATAAGAGCCGGCATTCCACTTCCTCCTTGGAAGAAAATATGATGTAACGAACATTTCGCACCCACGTGTTTGTTCCCACTTCCTACGGTAAAAGTCCAATCCTGTTTTTCAAGGAAGTAGGTGGTATGAAAGTGGACGCACCCCTTTTTGGTGACTTCGCCAAATTACATTTACGATTTATGTTTCCTCCACGAAAATGACATTGACAATAGTCACACCACTGCATCACGCATATTTGAGTTGAACCTATATTTCTGCCTTGATATCACTGGTTCTTACTAGTGAATGGGAAAAGTGCAAATTGTGATTTGCCTTAGAAGCGAAATAGACAAATTTGGCTTCCTAGAATATTGCTTTCAAGAGCATTGGTAACGCGCATGTCTATATAGAGTACAATTCTACTTGCGAGACGGTGGTATGCGTTTAGCCACGAAAGGTTAAACTTGGGAATATCTTTGAGTATATTTGAGTTATTTACAAACTGGCGAATCGTGGATAATTTCAATATTTGTGTGCCATTGTTCTTTGGAGCCCCACCAGCCGGAATTTCTCGCCCCCCTCTGCCCCTCCCTCGTGCACGGAATGTTGCTAGACAAAGGTTAATAATATTGGGAAACACATTTGAGTCATATGACTACATTGCATGTGGGAGAGTGGGTGGGTAGGTAAATGGAACGGGTTCCTTATTCGGATTTTTTTTAAGGGTTTTTCACGTAGTATATAACATCACTAACGTCTACCCGACTGTGCCAGGAGTTTCAACCCCACTCCTTCGCCCGGGTCAAATATAAATTAGTTTTCCCTTTTAAAATCTATGGATGTGCACTGCTTGAGTTGTGTAATAATCTAGGTATGTTTTTTTATCAAGATGCGTAATCGCTTTCACATGTGTATGCAAGTCATTTCAGATAAAATTAATTTAAGTTTGGCTTATTTTTTTAAACTTCACCTGTCAACCAACTCGTTTTGGTTGGGGGGGAACGACAACACTTATCGATGCACATAAATTTCGTGTGTGTGGTCCATATTCGGTACACGACGATCTACGTTTTTTTCCTAAAGACGCGCATATAATAAATACTCGTGTGAGAAGTTATTTCCGAGCCGCTGCCCTAACCGCATACCTCAAACACTTAGGATTTCGGTGATAAACAAGTTGGGACGACGCCGTTTTACTTAAAACACATACGATCATACAACTGCTATGTGCTTGGTTTTCCCTTTAAAATGCCTGGGAAAAGGAAACCAAAACAACTCTTTGCGAAACTTGTTTTTCTTTCATATCTGTGTAAGTTTTACCGCCTGGGGTGTTTCGGTAAAATAGTCTGTATTTGACGACATTTTTTATGAATTATTCTGATATAACTATCGGCCAGTTCGTGTCCTGTATGAAATTGCTCGATTTGTTGTACTTAAAGGTTTTTCTATGGTAGTTAAGATTCTAACAACAACAGTTTATCATAGAGTAGAACTTGATATAAAACACTGCCCGTATTTACGGCATTAGACGTCATATTGTAAAGGTTTTGTGGGGGAGCTTGGAGACGACAGCTTATTGTCGAATGATGAATTACTGCCAGAACTATAGAACCCACGTTTGTGCTAAAGATATTATTGTGAAATCTCTTATCACTAACCTGTTAGCGTAATTTTCTCGCCTTTATTATCACGCACGCGGAAATTATGCTAATGAACTCAAATCCACATAACATACAACGCGACCCACTCTCTTGTTTCGTGTCTCGCGAGTTTTGACTTGGAAGTTGTTCAGACTGTGCTCAGACTCAGTCGGCTTCGTGTGGCTTCTCCGCTTGTTTATAGACCACCGATGTTATTGATTGTTTTAACTGAAAATATGAGAAGAAGTTTGTCGGTGAATTATTGACATTAGCGCTGTGAGCGGAAAATTAATAAATTCATATGCTGTACACAGCTACAATAACTAACTTGATATTGCTTCGCCCGATGGGTGGTCAAAACCTACAGTCCCTTGGCTTAGACTAACATTCAAACTTCAAGTTGTTCACGGGCAAACCACGGTAACCTACTATAGAATACCACCTACACTGGACCACCACTATTGAGATATATCTCTTTCAGGCACAAAAAAGCAGATACCACACCATGAACTTTCTCGCTGTTTATTTTTACTTTTGTTTATAAACTGAGCCTTGGCGATTGTCATTTTTGGTCAAACGTCGCGTCGGCTCGGGTAATTAATTTAAACATATGTTAAATGCTTTCAGTCTTATCGACTGATCAAAGTTTTTTTGAGAAACACTAGACATCTTAATATCGTGCTTCAACATGCCAAGGGCTTTATGAGTGCTATCTAGTAAAGTAAACATCGTTGCTTGGTCTCCCGCAGCCGATGTTAGATGCTTGTTTGCTTTCAAAGTACAAAAAAAAATCGTCGCCACGTTAGCCATTAGAACCCTAAATTTAATTATGGTAAATGCGCAACTGTCATTCAAGAGATTAAGTTAGGATAAACCGTTTAACTCGCAGACTCTTATATTTGCTACGGCGTTTCGATAGGACAAACAGCTGTGACTATATGTAAACCTAACTCACAGTCCCCGAAAATGAACTATTCCAAATTATTCTTGCAAAGGTCGTGCCCTATCTGCGTGTCTTTCAGTGTTATCATGCACTGAACTGACTGAAGAAAGCCTAAACCAAAATATAAGTTGAAACACCGGCTAGTTTATGCACCGGACTAAATTTTTTAAGAGATAAAGAAAGGACAATTCCTGATTATATATGCTTACATTTTTCACCTCATCTTCTCAAATGTGATGGCTAGGCTAGTTAGATATACATTTCAGAGTGTCTCTTATTATATGACGAATTTAGCAGCTGGAAACCTAAACCATAGACCATAGTCATATGTCTAATGGATGGATCTTTCAATTTCATGCCTGAAGTAGATGTTCCTTGTAAACTTCGCTGAGTTATCTCTGGCCTTATACGGTATTGCATATGTATGAGATAGGGATAGTTATCATTGGAACCTAAGAACCCAAACTAAATTTATCTCAGTGGATTCGGTATTCATTAGTTCATATCGTTCTACATCAGTACAAATTGTTCTTGTCAAGGTCGTGGTAAGGGTCATATCTTATCTTGACAGTACGGATGCAGAGCTGTTCACGTAACAACCAAATCATTTTTAGCAAATTGTCCTTCCTGGCCGTATAAGGAGGCACAGAATCTTCCATTTGCTGAACACCACGGTCATAACAAGACCAATGAAATAATTTAATGCATGGTAAACTAATTTGTACAGAGGACAAAGAGCTAACAGTCAGATGAATTGGCAATCAAAATATACACCATGCTTATCAATAGCACAATTACCGAGAGATTCAATAATCTGCGGAACAGTATCGTGATTGATGAATTACTACCACAGGGGGCCCTTCCGATACCACCAACATTAGGTATACGCATTTGATTGGGACCGCGGGAGATGGCGTACATTAGACGTTCGTGTTTTCTTTGTACAGAACATTGTTCGAAATTTTGTGTCAAGTTTCAAATAATGGTTTGACTGATAGGTCTGCTTGTGAATGCAAGTTCTAGAAGTTATTAATTCGTCGGCCATCAAGAGGCATTGTTTCTGTGTATACATCACATGAAGAATGCGTTTCAGAATAGTCACTGGGTTGCTTTATATCCGCGTGTGGGAAACGTCTTTTGATCTGGTTTATTTTAAACCATCATCTTTTGCCTTTGTAAACAAATAAACAACCGCATGATCTAAGATATGGTCCTCTGAAAAGACAAAACTGTTTAGAACTGGTATAGTCTTTAGAGCAAAAACAGTATTATAAAGTTAGTTAGGTTGAATTCGTTTAAGACGAAAAACTCTGGAGCATAAAAAGACATCCACGCTAGACTTCTACGTATGAAACAGCTTATAATTAACGAAACTAAATACAGTACAAGCAAGGTTAGAGTTCGGCCTAACTTCATCTCTTGACCTTGGCAAACTGGCACACAAATCCGCTAACAAGGAATGGCCTTATTATGCAATCTAGAACATGCTATAGAACTACCAATATCACTATGTCAATACTGGTATTTCTGAATATTGTATCTGATCACCAGAACAATGATCTCTAAGCACATAAGCTCCAGCTTCAATGTTTGCAGGCCGGAGCCAAGGATTATGTTACTCTAAGTGATATGTTTGTCAATGTAAGAACTGTGTAATGAAAGAGAGTTAATTAGACGCATTTCTATAAATATCATCATTCTGCATGAAGACAAGGCTAAAAATTGTGTTTGTTCATTGAAAGATGCCTTCAAAATGGGAACTAAATTCTGGAATTAAATTCTAAATTCTGTTCAGTTGAATACTCATGTCAATTTTGACAGACATGGATGACCTACGGTGTATCAGTTTTTTGCTGAGATGTTCTGCTATATGACACCAGTTTTGTACAAAATTAGCACAGTGTAAACTGACCTGACCTGCTCTTACTGTAAATGCGATCGCCGTTGGGCGATCGAGCAAAACATGGAAGCAACATATTTTATATGCATATAAAGTGGATTATAATTAAAAGCTCGATGGGCGTGTAGAGCAATTTTCTTCCGTGTATTTTATATCATAAAAGTTTGCGAGGTAAATCGATTTAACCTTGCAGGACCATGGTGAAAGTACAACAGCTCTGCCTAATGTTTACACAGTATATAGAAGTAATAGAACACGCGCAATAAATTCATGCAAAGGGCGCTATTCAAACCAGTTTTTGAACAAGGAAAATTGCTATAGCGTGTACGGAAACGCTCAGTACGACACCGCCCCGTAATAAAGCCCACGGCTTAACTTAATTGTGTGTGTGCTTTGCCACTGGAAACACGAAGCAATCATTTGTCTTTCTAAGATACCGACCGTAGAAATAGTTGGTTTTTTACGTAGCAAAGGCGCTCTTTTTGCTTTTTAAACGACCTATATGCCCTCTGAAATTGACGTTGAAATTAATTTTAACTCTTTCCGAAAGTTCCTGATTGAAGTAATCAAACGTTGGCAATAATAGATGCAGGTTGTTAAAAACATGCTTCTTGCCAAAATGCAAACTAAAATAGCATGGATGCGTGCGACTCAGAGATATACGTAAAAAATTCGCAGGGTACGCACCCTATGAGATGCGTCTACCCAGGAAACTGAAAAGCGATAAACATCTGCTGGAGCACGCTGGTTCTGGCAGTGCAGAGGTCGCATAATACCTGGAGCTTTGACCACGGATAGTTTATATTTGTTGAAAAGTACTTGTTGAAGAGACATAATTAGAGGTATATCAGTGAAAAATGGCGTGAAAACGTTTATATACAACACGGGGCAGTCGTTTTATGACGAGGGATGTTTCTAAAATTTGCTTTTCTTTCCCGTGACAATAATCGCCTTGTAGTGATTCTGTTGAAAGAATATAAAGTTGAAATTATATAATATATGCATGCAGGTTCCGCCTTATGCATGCAACAGCACAAGGCGTCAGCAAACGCCACGCAGTTTAGCCAATGCTAATGCAAGGTTTTCTGTGTGGACGAAAAATTGGCTAAAAATGGTAAACAGCTGCTTCAATCCGTTACTTTTTTTCACCATTTTACACACAAATACATACTGAATCCCACAGATCGGTTTATTCTTTGGCTATTTAGTAAGAACTACTGAAATGCATTATATTTAGACTATTCCATAGCTATATATCTTTGAAGAAAAACTACAGGATACCCCGTATTATATAGTTTCAACCGAGAACTTTTTTACTATAACATCGCAGATATTTGTAAATCGCTTGAGGTGCATTTTATGACATTCTGAGGACCGCATCGCTTTCAAGTTCAAAGAAACAAAAGACTTAAAACCTGGATGGCATAGAAATAATCCAGCGTAGATGTTTTTTTAAACCTGCATGATGTAGCCATTCAGTTTATAATTTAGATTCAGACTCCATAGAAATCGAAAGTAGCCGCGCTTATTTGAAGTCATTCAGTAGGAACAAGAATCGTATATAACAACCGCTTTTGCATCATATCAAACTTATTTCTTCTTCTTTTTTCACTGATGTTCAAGAGACATAAAACATATTCATTTGCACGTATGTACATTTTATCTGTTCCTGATATCCGTTGAAGAGTCAGTTATAAAAACACGTTAGTATATCATATCGCTATATAACACTTGTCTATATTATTATATTCTTCTTTTTTGACTTGTTTGAATAAGTTAAAACGTTCTAATATTGTGACATGTTCAATTACGACTTTATTATTTATATTGATTGACCGTGTTGGAATATAACACCTGCGCTAATAAATCCTCAAAACATTCGTCAAAAATTTGATGAATTGTATTTTCCCCTCTGAAAGTCATTGTTAGCTCCAGACTATAGATATATTTATTGCATGCCTGTATCTAAATTGAAACGCCGGAACAGTTTAATTAGTGACATTTTGAATTATTAGGTTTTAATTGACATATATATATGGTCTACATACGCGCAGCTAAATTATATATGAACGTCAAATATGCGTGTATAAAGCTAAATTCGTGCAAAGGAAGCATATAGTTTGACAGATAACTCGACTAGCTGTATAGAACCAACCCTACCAAAAATGATGAACATGCATGAGTCGATAAAAAAAGTTATTGCGTATACCTAGGCTCCTAGCAGTCAGTCAATTAATTTCCACCACGGTGGCCTGTGTCGCTTATATGCATTTGCCAAGTACGGCGCTGTGTGGATGCATTAACTTTCATCAGGCTTTTATTAAACATTCTTTACTGAATACACAAATAAAACTGTTTGAATTATTGCCATAGGTTCGTTTCCAT